ACATATGTGAATTCTTATTTTGAACGGGTCAAAATTAATTATTACTTGTTATGCAACTACACAATTTTCAACTGCCACTCAATGTTCACATGTGATTTTCTCAAAACAGCATGGCTTTGGCATAGTACCAATGATTTGTAGTGGTGCAGGCAGTTAAGACTACTGGACAAGATAATGCCCATAACAAAGCAGTATCTTTTCCAGTAACGTCTAGTAACTGTCAGAAATTACAGTTCTTTTGTCCAGTTACTGCTGTCATGTATTCAACCAGTCCCATCATCCCGCCCCGGGCTATTCAACTTGCAGCCAACAAGCCGAATTTGGCCTGCAGCAGCCTGGCAAGTGGCTCACAGTGGCCAATTGTAGTTAGTAATGTTCTTTCAATGCTAGGGCTCAGGCAACTGATGATCCCTATTTTTGTTATTTTGACCTCTGAGACAGAATAGCACTGATTCAGCCTGTGTCAGGAATCCTATGTACAGACATTCGTACAAGTATGACACACCCCATAATGCCAGATTTAGCATCCATCGACTACCAACCCAGAACATTTTTCAGTACTTAATGTAATTTATAAATTGTGTTTGTTTTTCAGTATCTGCTGAAACTGATAAATTACATTCATATAATCTGTCTGGCATAGATAAGTCATAAGTACAACACAACGTCATGCTTCACAAGAAGTCTGCCAGTAAAACGTGCAATAGACACATCTGATCAGTCCAAATCAACTGCTGGCTGCCACATCTTAGGTATGTCTGCTAAATAGGCCAACACTGATTAAAAATCTGGCAAAGATAAATAACTAGATGCCTGTGATTTAGTGACTCCAAAAACTGACTACATGAGCCCTCTGCGTTTCTTGTAGTCATCCAAATTCAAAGATCTACGTGGAACTGCGTCGCGAGCAGTATGCAATGGCGGTGTGGGGATAACAATTTGAGATCCTGGGGACATTGTAAATTAAATATTATCCATAATTATAAGCAAAAATCTATGAGGAAATATTTGTAAAATGAAAAAATAGATTTTGTTATATTATTAAAAGGAGATGGCAACCACACAGAAAATGAGTCTGGTCGGTGGGAGAAGAGGAGGTGGAGAGGTGAAAGGAAGGAAGAGAATCCAATCATATTATTACTCAAAATTTAGTCTCAGTGTGTTGGTAAGCAAACATGCTGATCATAGTTTCAGAGTCTGGTTGTCAGATGATTGGATAAGGTTGCATGCAATGACTATAAACTGAAGTGAATGATATGTTGCAAGGATGTGATTGCTTCATGACTTTAAACTGTAAAGTGCAACATGTTGCAAGGATGTGATTGCTTCATGACTTTAAACTGTAAAGTGCAACATGTTGCAAGGATGTGATTGCTTCATGACTTTAAACTGTAAAGTGCAACATGTTGCAAGGATGTGATGCTCATGACTTTAAACTGTAAAGTGCAACATGTTGCAAGGATGTGATTGCTTCATGACTTTAAACTGTAAAGTGCAACATGTTGCAAGGATGTGATTGCTTCATGACTTTAAACTGTAAAGTGCAACATGTTGCAAGGATGTGATTGCTTCATGACTTTAAACTGTGAAGTGCAACATGTTGCAAGGATGTGAATACCTAATGACTTGAAAGATGTTGCAAGCATGTGAATGCCTAATGATGTGAAACTCATTTAAACTGAAGCAAATGACAACATTGCATGGATGTGAATGCCTGATGACATGAAGCTCAAGTGAATAAAGATTTGAGGTACTAAACACAGCTGGAAACTCAGGTGAATAATGAATTGAGTACAGAGGTTGTGAAATGAATAGTTTAAAAAAATATAAAAAGTTCACAGAGTCTTTCCTCTCCAGCCGTACAGTATAAAGATTATGTTGTTGTCTTGTCCGATTTCTGATGCAGAATTTTAATCTTCTTCTTCTCAGTGTTTACTGGCTGTAAACTCCAGCGGAAACTTCTGGTTGTTTGTCCACTTCTGGACTTTGCTCTTGTTCCAGAACTTGAGTTTTGTTTCCATTTTACAAATCTGGCTTATCTGTATGCAAACTTTGGTTCCCCGCCTCTCAAGCAGACTTTGAAGTATGCCCTCAATTAGTCAACTTCTAGGACATGCTTGTTGGAGAAGCAATGGGTCTCTCCCCCCCCCCCTCCCCCAAATGGGGCCTCAGAACCAACATGGTGATGACGCAGAATCAATGTCACTGCACTCAAGACAAATACCTGGCCTCACACACTGAGATATCTGAGGAGACATATGGAACCTGGCCTCACACACTGAGATATCTAAGGAGACATATGGAACCTGGCCTCACACACTGAGATATCTGAGGAGACATATGGAACCTGGCCTCACACACTGAGATATCTAAGGAGACATATGGAACCTGGCCTCACACACTGAGATATCTGAGGAGACATATGGAACCTGGCCTCACACACTGAGATATCTAAGGAGACATATGGAACCTGGCCTCACACACTGAGATATCTGAGGAGACATATGGAACCTGGTCTCACACACAGATATCTGAGGAGACATATGGAACCTGGCCTCACACACTGAGATATCTGAGGAGACATATGGAACCTGGCCTCACACACTGAGATATCTGAGGAGACATATGGAAACCTGGCCTCCACACACTGAGATATCTGAGGAGACATATGGAAACCTGGCCTCACACACTGAGATATCTAAGGAGACATATGGAACCTGGCCTCACACACTGAGATATCTGAGGAGACATATGGAACCTGGCCTCACACACTGAGATATCTGAGGAGACATATGGAACCTGGCCTCACACACTGAGATATCTAAGGAGACATATGGAACCTGGCCTCACACACTGAGATATCTGAGGAGACATATGGAACCTGGCCTCACACACTGAGATATCTAAGGAGACATATGGAAACCTGGCCTCACACACTGAGATATCAAGGAGACATATGGAACCTGGCCTCACACACTGAGATATCTGAGGAGACATATGGAACCTGGCCTCACACACTGAGATATCTGAGGAGACATATGGAACCTGGCCTCACACATAGATATCTGAGGAGACATATGGAACCTGGCCTCACACACTGAGATATCTGAGGAGACATATGGAACCTGGCCTCACACACTGAGATATCTAAGGAGACATATGGAATCTGGCCTCACACACTGAGATATCTGAGGAGACATATGGAACCTGGCCTCACACACAGATATCTGAGGAGACATGGAACCTGGCCTCACACACTGAGATATCTGAGGAGACATATGGAACCTGGTCTCACACACTGAGATATCTGAGGAGACATATGGACACTGTGGTGTGCAGTAGCAAGACACTGATCAGCTGGCCTGAAGGCCGTGCAAATCAGCATCACTGATGATCTTTATGACTGACCTGGTCTTTCAGATTCTCCCAGCCCAAAACTGTTACCATGAAGTGCTCTCGAAAGAGTGGCCGATGGGATTCTGACCACATCACCCCTTGAGTGCCAAGTGGTGTACAGAATCATAGATCTAACACCCTGTGCCTGATGCATCAATGATGTGAAATGGGTTCTTTATTTAAGCCTGGGCTGACTATTTTTATTCTGACTACCCCAAAAAAGCTAGTTAGCTCATTTATGGAACCATTCTCCTCTGTATGGGAGCACTGAGGTCTTTCAGCTAGTTTATCAGCTGTGAGCCGGACGGTGGTGGGTTCAAATCTGCACTGAGCTGAATATTTTTTGTTAAATGACCTTGGTTTTCAAGTCAGCCCAGTTAAAAATTGACACCAGGTAATATCTTTGGGAAGTAAAGGGAGTTGGCGTGACGTTGACCACATCGCCCACTTGGTACCAATTGGTCTGTAAGATATAGGTATAGCATTTTATACCCAATATGCCTAAGGGCATGAAAAAGAGCCATTACTTTCTCAAACTTTTTTTTAAAAAAAAAAACCTTCTTCTTCTTTTGTTCGCCTGAAATAAGTTGTCTATATCAGCAGTTTTGTAAATTTCACTGTCCTCGTTAGTTCATTCAGTGGTCCATAGAGTTTACGTTCCACTGTTGTTCTTCCTGGCCAAAAGGTTTGCCTTCTTCTTCTTCTTCTTCACTTCCTCTTTTACCGCTGTGGGTGTCGAGGGAGATATAAGGTTCTGTTTCTAGCTCTTCTGGTCACCTTGACCATAGGCACATCGTGCTGTTGTAGAGTTTCTCTGATGTTATCCTTCCATCTTGTTCTTGGTCTACCTCGTGCTCTACATCCTTCTTCTCTTTCCATGTATGCTTTGTATGGTATGGTGTCATAAGGCATTCTCTCTAAGTGGGCAAACCATTTCACTTGCTTTCCTTGTATGTAATTTAGAATTGGTTCTGTGCCGACTTTTTCTTTTATGATCTCATTCCTGATCTTATCTCTTATGGTCACTCCTACTGCCCTTCTCAGACATCTCATTTCCATAAAGGTTTGCCTTAATGTGTCAAATTCGGTGCAGTTCTGGAGTACATGCTCTGCTGTCTGGGGCACCTTTCCACAGGTGCAAATGCCTGAAACACCTATCTTGAATTTTTTGTACATGTGTGGTTAAGTAATCGGTGGTGCCCTGTTCTGAGGCGGAGAATAATGACTTGTTCTGGTCTGTCCATAATAAAATATTAAATAAACCAATTTGCATTTGTTCACAATGTGGTCAACACTATGCTGGCCGCATTTACTTCCCAGGACTTCACCTAGTACCCATTTTAGGCTGGGGAGCCTGGAAGCTAATGTCATTTAAAAATAGAAAAAAATTGGTTCAGTGTAGATAAAACCATGACCTTGAGACCCATATGCAAGTGTCTAGCCCCTACACCACATCCCAACAACTGCAACAGCTAAAATGTGACTTGCCCAGAATTTTTCAACAGGGAACCAATAATAAAATTAAGATTTCGACATAGCCCTAATGTGCTACAACAAAGCTTGGACGTCCAAACTGAAATGTCAAATTTAACAATAACACTAACCTCCAGATGGAACATCAAGATCAATTTTAATATCAAAGTCATGGACAGCAAAGAGGTCATCAGACGTACGTCTCTCTGTAATATCTGCTCTGCCACCCGACTGGAAAACAAACAAGAATATTTGTTACAAAGTGATTTAGCACCCACACAAATTAAACAATCATAATTTACTACTTTTCACATTCATAATCTAATAGTATCTTGCTTTCACATTTTATCACACTCATATTTTATTAATGTAAGCTTATCACCTCTAAAATCCTAATTTAATGTCACTTTTACCTCCACAGTATTACACCCTTATTTATAATTTACGAATATAATATATTGCCTTTACCTTTATAACTGAACATATTTTTATTTCCCCAGTTTATCGAATCTTTATTTATAATTTATGAACATAAACATATTTGTATTCTTGCCTTCATTAATCTGCCAAAAATCTGTATTTACCACTTCTGCAGTGTATGCAGCGGGATGTGCAGCTCCTCTCAGCTGCATGGCTAGTGTTGTCACCATGGACTGTGGAGCTCCTCTCAGCCGCATGGCTAGTGTTGTCACCATGGACTGTGGAGCTCCTCTCAGCTGCATGGCTAGTGCTGTCACCATGGACTGTGGCGCTTCTCTCAGCAGCATGGCTAGTGCTGTCACCATGAACTGTGCAGCTCCTCTGAGCCGCATGGTTAGTGCTGTCACCATGGACTGTGGAGCTCCTCTCAGCCGCATGGCTAGTGCTGTCACCATGGACTGTGGAGCTCCTCTCAGCCGCATGGCTAGTGCTGTCACCATGGACTGGGGAGCTTCTCTCAGCTGCATGGTTAGTACTGTCACCATGGACTGTGGAGCTCCTCTCAGCTGCATGGCTAGTGCTGTCGCCATGGACTGTGGAGCTTCTCTCAGCTGCATGGTTAGTGCTGTCGCCATGGACTGTGGAGCTCCTCTCAGCTGCATGGCTAGTGCTGTCGCCATGGACTGTGGAGCTCCTCTGAGCCGCATGGCTAGTGCTGTCACCATGGACTGTGGAGCTCCTCTCAGCTGCATGGCTAGTGCTGTCACCATGGACTGTGGAGCTCCTCTCAGCCGCATGGCTAGTGCTGCCACCATGGACTGTGGCGCTCCTCTCAGCCGCATGGCTAGTGCTGTCACCATGGACTGTGGAGCTTCTCTCAGCTGCATGGTTAGTGCTGTCACCATGGACTGTGGAGCTCCTCTCAGCTGCATGGCTAGTGCTGTCACCATGGACTGTGCAGCTCCTCTGAGCAGCATGGCTAGTGCTGTCACTATGGACTGTGGAGCTCCTCTGAGCCGCATGGCTAGTGCTGTCACCATGGACTGTGGAGTTCCTCTCAGCCGAATGGTTAGTGCTGTCACCATGGACTGTGGAGCTCCTCTGAGCCGCATGGCTAGTGCTGTCACCATGGACTGTGGAGCTCCTCTCAGCTGCATGGTTAGTGCTGTCACCATGGACTGTGGAGCTCCTCTGAGCAGCATGGCTAGTGCTGTCACCATGGACTGTGGAGCTCCTCTGAGCCGCATGGCTAGTGCTGTCACCATGGACTGTGGCTCATCTGAGCCGCAGCTCCTCTGAGCCAGCATGCATGGCTAGTGGAGCTCCTCTGAGCCGCATGGCTAGTGCTGTCACCATGGACTGTGGAGCTCCTCTGAGCCCCATGGCTAGTGCTGTCACCATGGACTGTGGAGCTCCTCTGAGCCGCATGGCTAGTGCTGTCACCATGGACTGTGGAGCTCCTCTGAGCCGCATGGTTAGTGCTGTCACCATGGACTGTGGCGCTCCTTTCAGCTGCATGGTTAGTGCTGTCACCATGGACTGTGGCGCTCCTCTCAGCTGAATGGTTAGTGCTGTCACCATGGACTGTGGAGCTCCTCTCAGCCGCATGGCTAGTGCTGTCACCATGGACTGTGGAGCTCCTCTCAGCTGCATGGCTAGTGCTGTCACCATGGACTGTGGAGCTGCCGATGGCTAGTGCTGTCACCATGGACTGTGGAGCTCCTCTCAGCTCAGCTGTCACCATGGACTGTGGAGCTCCTCTCAGCTGCATGGCTAGTGCTGTCACCATGGACTGTGGAGCTCCTCTCAGCTGCATGGTTAGTGCTGTCACCATGGACTGTGGAGCTCCTCTCAGCTGCATGGCTAGTGCTGTCACCATGGACTGTGGAGCTCCTCTCAGCTGCATGGCTAGTGCTGTCACCATGGACTGTGGAGCTCCTCTCAGCTGCATGGCTAGTGCTGTCACCATGGACTGTGGAGCTCCTCTCAGCAGCATGGCTAGTGCCTCGTCATACATGGACTGTGGAGTCCTCTCAGCTGCATGGTTAGTGCTGTCACCATGGACTGTGCGCTCCTCTCAGCTGAATGGACTGTGGCGCTCCTCTCAGCTGAATGCTTAGTGCTGTCACCATGGACTGTGGAGCTCCTCTCAGCTGAATGGTTAGTGCTGTCACCATGGACTGAGCAGCTCCTCTCAGCTGCATGGCTAGTGCTGTCACCATGGACTGTGGAGCTTCTCTGAGCAGCATGGCTAGTGCTGTCACCATGGACTGTGGAGCTCCTCTGAGTCTCATGGCTAGTGCTGTCACCATGGACTGTGGAGCTCCTCTGAGCCGCATGGCTAGTGCTGTCACCATGGACTGTGGAGCTCCTCTGAGCCGCATGGCTAGTGCTGTCACCATGGACTGTGGAGCTCCTCTGAGTCTCATGGCTAGTGCTGTCACCATGGACTGTGGAGCTCCTCTGAGTCTCATGGCTAGTGCTGTCACCATGGACTGTGCAGCTCCTCTCAGCTGCATGGCTAGTGCTGTCACCATGGACTGGGCAGGTCAGGATTAAATTTTTGCCCCTGACAGAAAACAATCCACAACCTTACTGAGGATTGGAACCTGGGTCTCTTGCATGTGAGCCCACCATTCTTAACCATGTTGCCAGCCACGTCTTTTATTGATTTATCACCTTTACTTAAAATCAAACATCTTCCGCCTCATAATCTCCCATTTGTTCATTACAAAATCACTATTCCATTTATTTATCATGTTACATAATACTCACATCTTCATCATGTATCTGGTAATAAGCAGATAGTGCATAGCATCATTCACAGAGCCCGATATTTTACTGAAGCTTCTTTGATTACATTAAGTTGAAAAAAACGGTAAGGTCCCTTTTCCATGTCTTTAGGTGTACTGGGAACATAGGGTTAGACCTATATTTTTTATAGACCAATCGGCACTTGGTGGGTGATGTGGTCAGCATCACGCTGGCCGCCTTTACTTCCCAGGACTGCACCTGGTACTCATTCAAGACTGGGTCGACCTGGGAGTCAAGGTCATTTTTTAAAAAGTCCGACTCTGCCAGGGAGCAAACCCACGACCTTCCGATCCGCATATTTAGCGTTTATTTCATTTGTCTAACTTGCCAAGTATTTTTGCCACACAACCTAAACTTCCATATTTGATCTTTTCTGTTGTACGTGTCAATAAGAATGTCAGAAATGGTTGTTTTAAAAAAATTTGATAATAGCAATTTTGAAACCATTTATTTGTACACATACACTGTCAGTTTATTTTTCTACAAAATTTTCACCAACACTGATGCATTTGTCCCATCATTTTATCAGTCCTCCCAAACTTGCTGCATGGAACTGCATGCTCTGTTTTCTAAACCACATTTTCACTTTACGTTCAACTTCTGCCTCATTCGTGAAATGTCTCCCACCCGGGGGGTTTTCAGTGAACCAAAAAAGGTGGATAATCGACTAGGGGCGAAGTTGGGGCTGTAAGGTGGATGTTCCAGAAATTCTCACCCTAGATGGTTTGATTTTCTCCTGAGTTAACCGAGCTGCATGTGGTTTGGCATTGTGGTGAAGGAGCCTGGACGTTTTTTTTTATTGCATCATGAAGCATCGATGGAACTTTACAGTATGAATCAGCATTCACTCCGTCCTCCCCCCCCCCCCCCCCATTTTTTGATAAATTGGTTAAAAGCACTCCTTGACAATCCCAGAACACTGGCAGCATAACCTTCGCTGCTGATGGCGTAACCTTGAATTTTTGAACACAAGGCGAAGGATGTCTCCATTGCCTTGAAGCATGCTCTGATTCCGGTTGGTAGTGAAGCTGCCATGATTTGTCCCCGGTAATAATCGGGCAAGAATGCCAAGCCCATGAATGAAAATGTTAGTAAGATCAACGAATTACTCTTTGCAGATAACCAGGCCTTGATAGCAGATACAGCCATGAAATTGCAACAACATCTAACATCCACGAATGAAGAATGTAAAACAAATAATATGAGAATCAACACTGAAAAGACAGAAGTAATGTCAACAGGAAAAAAAAAGACAGATCTAAACATAGCAATAGAGTGCAAAGGCATTAAACAGGCATCTGAGTTTAAATATCTGGGAACTACATTTACCGAAGATGGGAAATTGGATAAAGAAATTAACATTAGATGCAGTAAAGCAAACCAAGTATTGGGACAGCTAGCTCCCCTCTTACAGCATAAGACAATCCCAGTCAGCACAAAGAGACATCTTATTCAAAGCATATTTATTCCAACTCTGTCCTACCAGTGCCAGACATGGTCACTCACAACAAACCATAAAAGAAAATTAGTAACCACGGAAATGAGATGTCTAAGAAGAGCTGTAGGAGTGACCATAAGAGATCAAATCAGGAATGAGATCATAAGAGAAAAAGTCGGCACAGAACCAATTCTAAATTACATACAAAGACAGCAAGTGAAATGGTTTGCCCACTTAGAGAGAATGCCTTGTGACACCATACCATACAAAGCATACATGGAAAGAGAAGAAGGACGTAGAGCACGAGGTAAACCAAGAACACGATGGAAGGATAACATCAGAGAAACTCTACAACAGCACGATGTGCCTATGGTTGAGGCGGCCAGAAGAGCTAGAAACAGAACCTTATATCTCCCTCGACACCCACAGCGGTAAAAGAGGAAGTAAAGAAGAAAAAGAAGAAGAATCCTGTTCAGCGTGTCTTCTCCTTCATCTTCGTAACAACAGAGATGCTGCCATCCCCCAACCATTTGTGACTTACTTATTGACTTCCCCTCATATTTTTGTGTGGTATGATGAGTGATCTAGTAACACTTGCAGCAATATCAGTCTCAATATCTCAGAATTTGTTTTCTCCCTGTGTGTCTTCCAGGACATATTTTGATTGAAAAAAAAAAAGACTTATCACAACTTTCCCACAACACACAGGTGGGATGTTTCCTTTGAATCTGCCTGAAAAGTGAGTAATCAACTGTCTATATACAAATAAGACAGATCTGTACAATGGTCATGCAAGTCTGGAACAGACTTATAAAGTCCAGAAGTGGACAAACAACCAGGAATTTCTGCCAAAGTTTACAGCAGGGAGGTGGCGCGGTGATTTATGTCACAGGCGTAAAGTTATATGATGTGTATAAGGAGATACTCCGTACGTCACTCTGGCGCCAGTCATTTACTATCCTGGTTGCACGGAACCTCGTATCCTCGTACGGATAATGTCTCAAAAGCATTACAAGCTGTCAGGGGACTCTCGGAGTTCGGCGGCCCCCAGAGGTGTGTGTCCTTGGCTCTCATCAGCCCGCCCCCAGTGTCAAAAAATGTTACCAAAACTTAGGAACATGAGTAGGTTTGCCAAACGTACAGCAAAAATTACAACCCTTTTGTTAAAAGACTGCGGAGTAAAGATATATTGTTCACTGCACATCCTTTTGGGAGCGTCATCACCGGGGTGGTACACCACAACAGCAACCATCCATAGGCTGGGTACATCCTCGGGTAACCCTCAGTGTCGTCGTCACCGCTGATGTAACAGCAACCAACCATCGAATGGCTAAGCCTAATTGTCTGACAAAAACAGATCAGACAGATCAAAAACCATCAAAATTTGTATTGAATGAAAAAGACCGAATGTCCACACCCAAAGACCATACGCCCGTGTTGGACAAAAACTGATAACGATATGCCTGATGCAGGAAAAATTCTGTCGGGCTAACGGCTCGTCAAAGAAATCTAACGTGCGAGGAAAAAAGAATGTACCCATCTGTGTGGTCACAAAAGTCCATAAATGCTCCCCGCTGACTTCCAGAGGACGCAGCCCCTGTTCGGTTTTTTTGTGAGGTTAAGCAGGCATGTTGGACGTGACGATTCCTTGGGTGAGCCCAGAACAAGCGCCAGGTGCCGGCTCTGCATGCTTGGAAGCCTCCTTGGATGCGGGGATGCCCACGATCTGCCCTGCCTTCCCTTGAGGGCTAACTGTTTTCCACAGGGGGCTGCCCCAAAGGGGTACTCCGAGGGGCAATACCTGCGGCGAAGGAGACAAGTGGGGACACCACACAAATCAGGCAACGTCACGACCCACACAAAACAATGGCCAAGTCAACCTAGAAATAGGCCTTCTTGGTCGACGGAGTACAGCTGCCCAAGGCAGGGAATGGAAAACGGTTGTACACGCAAAAACAGGTCCAGGTGAAAGCCCAAAGTCCAAGCGGACGATTAACCTGGACCTTCCACTGGAAGACAGGATCGATTTAAAAAAAAAAAAAAATACAGCAGGAGAAGATGGGTCCGACAGGATATTCTGCAGAAACAATACGAAACCCTCTTCAGATGGGTCACATTTCATTACACACTGATCAGCGGACACATTTGTAAACAAAACCAGGCAACATGCAAACGTTTCTGTCAGTTAATATATGCGCTTGTTTCTTACCCACAACTGCTCATTTTATGTGCACAATGTATCTTGTAAACCTCCCACCGCCACAGCTGTATTCACTTCTTGTCCTGGCTGTTTCTTTCGCCACCAGTGTCAGCACTCACTATCACACACATTTTTTTTCCCACTATATTTAGATATATTGTCTGGTTTTTTGGGTTTTTTTTTTTCCAAATGTAAAATGGTTATCTACAAAATGTACCAGTGATAACCCAGTGTAATGATTTCCATTCGGTGCTTCATGGAGCCTTAAGGGCTCCGCCTGCATTTCCCAGGGGATCCATGTGCACTTACCAGGAGCTCCAGATGCTCCGCAAAAAAAAAAAACTGAATAAAAAAAAAACTTTTGAGAAACCAAACTGACTCATTTAACTTTGGAAGAACTAGGTATGACAGAATTCATGTGTACTGGTGGTAGCTGAGAATAAACTGATTATGATAGTAAATTTCAGCCAGTGTTTAAAATACAGTTTCACTGCATCAACATTGCACAAATGCTGATATCTCGGGAAAGGCAGGGAGGAGAAGAGGGTTGGTCCGTCAGACCATTTACCTCAGGCTTTGAAAGTCGTGGGTTGGCTTTACAGCTGCACCGTTCAGTTCACGAGTGCAAGTGGGTTGGCTTTACTGCTGCACCGTTCAGTTCACGAGTGCAAGTGGGTTGGCTTGACTGCTGCACCGTTCAGTTCACGAGTGCAATGTTTACAGTGATCCTGAGAATCGTCACCAGAACTACGGAGTTGGTGATCTGTGCAGTGCTCTTGTCAGGCGGCTAGCCGTTTTGCAGAAAGAGACTGGGATGTAAGGGATAAAACACGGTACAATGAAGTCGATCCTCTCGACTTTAACTTTAATTCACTTACCAGAACTGCATCTGCATTCATGGACTTTGCTGTGGGGACTAGCAGAGAACCAGGGATACCTGCAGCTGCTGCCGTTGTGGATTCCTGAAATTCAAAGAATATTTTGATGATTTTTTTTTTAAATCTCGTAAAACAAAACACCACAAAAGTGTCCCCACAATGCTGCTAGGCTAGGACTCCCTGTGACATGTAGGAGTCTATGCTAGTTATTGAACTGTCTATGTAGGTCATGTGCTAGCCATGGAGCTGTGTGGAAGTGCCAGTCTCCTCCAGTTACCTGACCTGACCTGACATGCTGTGAAGTGGCTACCTCTGGGCTTCTACTGTGTTGCCGCTTGGTTGTGGAATTCAGCAACAAATTGGCTTCAGACTGTGCATACAATGCTGAATTATCTTGACAAGTTTAATTGATTGATCATGCTGACTGAATATTTGCAAGTATACAAATTCATCATTCAGGAAACTAGACAAGTGACAAAACAGTATTTGCACTGATTGTAGTCAATAAGTAACAACAGAAGTCCTGTCTCGAGCAAACATACAGGCATTGGGGCCTGTTTGCTGGGTGAAAAGACGGGAGTGAGCTGTTGTAAGCAAAAGTTACTGTGGTGCGTAAAGACTTAAGGAAGCCAGGTCTTTATGAAGCATGGGCAAATGCTGTTGGATTGACGGGTTGTGAGTGAAAACATTTGAGCTACTTAAAGTTGTGAAACAGAGGCTGCTTGATATTCACGGGTGACTGCGAACACCCCAAGTTGTGTAGGAATTTGAGATCCATGTATGGCTGTTTTAGTCTGTCTGAGCTTGGAATCTGTCCGGATGACTGTGGTGAATCATGAGTTGGATTTTGGAATGCTGGAGTTGGACTTCCGAGATTTTCCAGAATGGACGGTTATGCAGCCCATGTATGTTGAGTAAATCCTGTGTGTATGTGTGGAAGACTGATACTTACCAACATATCCCCTAGATAATTGGCAAGTGTGCAATGCATGCCTTGATCGCAAAATCATGAATCGTATTACGAAACCTATATCATAATTCAGCACAGGCTGAAAGATAGGAATTGAAGTGGCAGGAACAACCGTAAACCTATTCCCCTAAGCGGCTGCAAAACATATACTTCCAGTTTAACACTTAGTAATTAATTCTTGTCATAACACTTATCATTAAAACTCAGTAATTACTTTTAGTCATAAAAATTAGGCAAATAGAGTGTCATACAATTCAGTAATTATGCGCCTTTATTAAACTCTGCAATTAACTATCGTCATAAAACTGTGCTATTAACTCGTCATAGAACTGCTTTAAACTCTCATCATAAAACTCTGATAACATGAGAAACTCCTTACACACAGTACAAACTCCCAAGACAACTTACTTTTAGTGATACTGGCATCTTAACTGTTTCAGCTTCACGGACCTGAGAGGCAAAAAACACATTATTAAATAAAGCATAAATAAATGAGGAAAGTTATAAACAGTGGTAATCACCTTGCAAAATGTAAGCCAGCAGAAGTATAAATATCCTTCCAAGTTGGAGTTAATTTACCAGAAAGGCAAAGAACCAACAGTCTGCACACAAATAAGCCACACTGTAAGAAGATGTACAGGCAACACACTCAAGTCCAGCAGTGAATGAAAACCAGAACTTTCCGCTGGATTTTACTGACAGTGAACAGAAAGAAGAAGCATTAAACAATATACTTAACAAACATACAGACAAACAGAAATCCTGAAAAACAAAAACAAGTGTTTAAAAGTTGTGCTCAGAACAAGCTACTGCTTTTTAATCTTCTTGTGTCTGCTCTAAAAGGCAGATGGTACACTGTACTGAGGTTTACAGCTAGGCTGTGATATCTGTGCGTTTTAGCCTAACACACCTTATTTCAACGAATCCCTAATTAGCTGCCTTTTGCGACAGGCTTGTTCATAGTAAGGGGCCTATTACTTCCTCCTCAAAAACAGAGCCCCGAAACCACAAAAGGAGATGATAATGATGAAAGTCAATGGTTTAAACAAAAGGGCAAAAGAAAACAGGTTTTTTTCTCAAGGTGGAGAAGATCACTCACCCTTGTCACGATAGTTGGCCGACACTGACGGCGAGTGAAAGGGTCAGCTGTGGCATTTCTCATCTCGGCAACCTCAGCTTTCAGGGCGGACTCTGCTTCAACCAGGTTACGGTCCCGGTTCCTCTGGTTGATGTAACTGTGGGATGGCAAATAAAGAATGCAGTGCAACCAAACAACGGAAATGAAACACTGAATCTGATCACATAACCGATACACAATGGAAACCTCAGGATACAAATTCAATCCATTCCCTGACTGAGCTCTTAAGGCAAATAACTTGTATCCGGAAAAAAAATTTCCAGTTACAATTAATGTAAATATTTGTGATTCAGTCTAGCACTCTGATCATCACTCTATTAGTTTCAGAAAGATATTTTTCGTTCATTCGGAGAAAATGTGCGGCAGTGTCCTTTTGTTTTTGCGGGCAGTAAAAAAAACGGCTTATTTCCAGCCATGATGCTATTTCACCATCATCAAGTGCCTTGCTGACTGGATGAAGTCCTCCTTCGGAAATATTAGGCTGACCTAATTGATATAAAAATTGTTGTGATGCTGTCAGGTAATGCCGTGAGTTCATCGCTCCTGGATTTCACCTCGTATTCTGAGGCACACACACACATTTCAGGAGCCTGACCTCGTATCCAGGTACACTCATATCCATATGTTCCACTGTACAGCACCATATGTTCCACTGTACAGCACCATATGTTCCACTGTACAGCACCATATGTTCCACTGTACAGCACCAAATTTAACCATGTCAACTTCTTTTTCTTCTGTCTTTTACCTCCCAGTGCAGCATAGGCCTTCGACACTGAATCTTACCATGCAGTTGATATACAGCCCTGAATTTTCTTGTTTACCGCCTATATATATATATATATATATATATATATATATATTATATATATATATATATATATATATATATATATATATATTATATATATATATATATATATATATATACTGTCTCTGACATATTTGTTAGTTTTTGTGCTCTAAATTAACTAATTCGTAAAATGCATCTCTAACATTTACTAGGGTTTACGAACATTCAAGTGACCCACTTTAAAACGAAAGTAGAGATCGCTTAGTTACAAGATGGAGTCGGTGGTCCACAGAAAATGGCTCCTTTGCGTATCAGTTACTTTGAAAACCCGTCGCTCAACACTGGCGGTTCTGAATCGAATACGTGAGCTCAAAGTTATTCAGAAGAGGTTGCTCTACAAAACGACACCTAACTTACGTAGCGATCTTTGTTCAGCCTAATAAATTTCCCTATTTGCCATGCGGGAAGTAAATTTTCTTTAATATCTCTTGTTTTCGGTAAAATAAAAGACTCTAAAGTGACATTTTTGGATTCTGTGTCAATTTTACATAAAGTTGGGCAGTTTTGTTGGAATCTGTACAGGACGAAGTTGAAAGTTTGAATTTGTTCCCAATCGTGTATTGAGAGCTAAATCAGAGATTTCTCAAAATGGCCACCACGTGGTCTAAACGAACTGATTGATTAATATCTAGTTATTTATAAAAACAGTTGAAAAATAATGCAAGTTTTATTTCAATTAATCATTTAACGGTCTCTAACTTTAATTTGACATCAGTTTTAATAGTTTTAAATAGCTGAAAATAATGTTTTACCACGTTTTTGACATGGACCATTTGGCTAGGGTATTTTGAGCATTGAAAATGGACACAGTCATTGGTTTGAACATTTTTTAATATACTTTTAAATCACATTAAAGTAGTTATTTAATCATTTTTAGAATCTTTAGCCATTATAGCTTTTTTTAAGCCATAACCTATCATTGGGCATGAAGGACCTTACCTGTTTAAGGCCTTTTTACCTGCTGACCCCCACTCTCCGCTCCCAGATTGACATTTAAAAGATGTCTGCCATATATTTCTGCACTATGATTTTGTGGTGCATTTTTATTGTCTTAGTATAACAAGTACTATTTATTACTGATACTATGTATTAGTATTAGAATTGTAGTTCTGACTTACTTAGATTTTAGATATGCTTATTTAGAAAGTTGATGATCAATGAAATTAATAATAAAATATTATAATTTGTTTAACTGTGCATAAGTTTACTTACAGCTAGGGCTACTTACAACTTATGATTAATAATATTTGATCATTTTCTATATATACTAGCCAACAAACAGATCACATGGGACATAGATACTTTACAAAAATAAAATGTTATTTTTCCTCTTACCTTATGAAATCCTGATCCATGAAAACACAACATAAATCCAAAGCAAATCACAAAGGAGCTTATTTAATCATTTTACTCCATGAAAAACATAGCACTGAATCACAAATCGGGCGGTTACCTTAGATTATTTTGAACAAGTAAATAAAATATCGAGCTGTGACTAGTTAAGAAGAAGAGGGGAACACTATGGTGAAATGCCCTCATCATCAATAAAATGAAAGAATAACTCGCAAAGACTGAAAAAAGGATTATGTTAAATCAGTAAGAGGGGCGCTCATTTTCACTTGGTTATAAAACAATATGGGGGTCTCCGTAGCAAAGTGGTCAAGCCAATAACCTCATGCTTAGAAGGTTGCGGTACGTTCACTTACAACTGCGTTGTTCAACTAAAAAATGAATTTTTTGGGTAAGCGGAGACCTGAGGGCTGTTGCTGGAGCTACGGTATTCAGGCTTTGTGCTAAGCTCTTAGCATGCGCTAGCCGTTCAGTTATGTGGAGAAAGACCAAGCCATACTAAACCAGTAACGATGCAATGAAGTCGATCCACTCGCTATTGAACATTTTTTAAACAGTGAAATAAAGCAAATTTCGGTCAGATGTATGCACACACACACACACACAAGTGAAAGTGCGAGAAAAAGCATTTTTCAACAAACAGAAAGAGATGCATCATAGCAAGAAGAATAGTTACAAAAGTGTATATATATATATATATATATATATATATATATATATATATATATATATATATATATATATATATATATATATATATATATATATATATATATATATATATATATATATATTTATATATTACAGTATACGTCTTGCAAGACTCACTGGATAATAATAATAAATTCATAAGGTATTTTATGAATACTGATAAATTGACTCATTTTTATGTTATTTAGGTTTGCATCACATCATATGTTTAAAAAGGCAACAACTTTAGTTAGAGCTTGCTGCCCTGAAAGCAATGACATATGGTTGCTAAGGGGTTCAGCCAAAAACTTGAGTTATTGACATTAAACATGATAAATTTAGGTCCAGTTTTCACTTGGGAACACGCCGCCATCTTGTTTATGTGTTTTCCATTATAATTTTTTGAGGGCACTTTCCGTCACTGAAATGTGAATATCTCCGCTCAGAATTGACATACAGACTTCATTGAGGTACCGTTGGACTCAGTTTTTCAACCTCTATTCAGCTGTCTTGGTTTAAAGGTAAAAAACCCAAAATAAAAATTTTGACTAAAATCCCTACATTTACATTGGAAAGCCTGATTCCGCCTTTACAGGATAAATTTGACAAAGACATCTCCAGTGTTTATCTCAACAGCGCCACATTAAAATTATACATTCATCATCATCAATCAGTGTGTCCTTTAAAGAATGCCGATCACCTGAGAGTCCAACTTTCTCTAGCCAGTTCCTCAGCTCTAAGTGCTTTCATAGCCAATGTGAATGTCTCGTATCCACCAGAGGAGGCCCATCTGAAACCGTACCCTCTAACACTGCTCCCCATTCACACAACATTAATCAGTTTAAATATGTATATGTATAAAACAAAGCAGATTTTGTAATCAATCTCATATCATTTTTGAAAAGGCCTATTCTGGAATAATCAGGGGTTCTCTTGAATACCTTATTGAATTAATATTTGAAGTTCGCCGTCTGTCAAGCTCTTGGGCTCTTTCTTCTAAATCTTCCAGTTCTTGAGCCAACTTTACTGACTTTTCTTGATCTCCATCAAGGTCAGCCTGCTCCTGTGATGTAAGAAAACACACAAAAGTTATATCTCTTCAAAAAGCTGAAATGTTCACAGTAAAGTACTATAGAAGACACTGTTCGCCCTTGCACTTTACAACACAAATTTTCTTTCTTTTTTTTTTTCGTGAATAAAAACTTTCAAAAACATATTTTATAGAGCAATTGGTCCTCATTTAAGGATGGGTTGACCTGAAAGCCAAGGTTATATCTGAAAAATTGTGCACCATGCAGAATCGAACTCATGACCTTAAAATCCACAGGTGGGTGTCTAGCCCTTACACCACAGAGGTTGTCCATAACACAATTACTAGCTTACAATTATGGTATTTACTCATGTGCAGTCTGTATGCCTGTATATGCCACACAACATTTCTAAGACGATAATGTGAAGAAAAAAACTTAGAATTTTGTTGACTGACCAAAATTGAAACAGTAGTACCTGTAAGCAGTGCAAGATGGGCCATGTTAGAACAAGTTACCATAGTGCATGTAGTTGCTGTGCATAAGAAAATGGAAACCAAGCAGTTGGCAGGAAATTCAACGTGGATGAGAAAAATGTGGGACGATGGATTGGAATGTGACATGTAGGCTAATATCTCAAATATAAGCCGCATCATATTTTTCCTCAATGGTTTTTGGTTAAAATACTGTGGCCCATACATGGGTACATTCAGTATTCCTTTTCTGTCTCCCTAAAGCCACACTAAATCCATTTGTTAACAACATGATAAATGTAATGATCAAAGAAACTAGATGGAGACCATCCAGATTATTTCAGTATGCCAGGAGGAGAAATCTGTACCGACCATTTTGGCCATAGTGAAATGAGGAGGATATTAGCCTTATACTAGGAAGAGAAAATGCAACCTCAAAATGATTTGGTAGGGCAGACCAGGTCCCCCAGCCTTGATTAGCAGCTGGTTATTTTCTGTAAAACTTCTATAATTAACGAACAAACTTTATTTTCAAAGGGTTACAAATTGGGCACTCAGGCCAATCTGACATTCGGCCCTTCTAAGCACTCATTTTTCAGAGTACCAATGCCTGTTATCAATAATGCATGTTATGGTTATAATAAAGAAGGATAAATTATAGAATAATGCATACATACATCATTTGTACACAATCATACACACACACGTATACATACTCCTATGTTCTCATACATGCACACTCATATACAGACATACGTAAGACATACACACACTCATCTACATACATACACAAAACATAAAACACATTCACATTCATAGACATAAATGCAAAAACAGAAAACACTCACACATACATTTATGGATATACACACACACATACATTTATGGATATAACTGTTCAAGGATAGATGTTAACTAACTAGCTCAAATAGCTACTTGCAATCTGCAAAATAAACCTTGCTTAATTAGGGATTGAACCAAAAACACGGTGTGGATTCAGTTCAGATTATCATCACTGCACTCTCAACATGTCCATAAGTGCTCCGTCTCTTTCACAGCTGATACAGACAACATTAAGGGATATGGTCAGGTTTAGACTACATCGTGTTTGCAATCTCATTTCTATTTTCTATCAAATATATGAAGAAGAAAAAAATCAGCAAAAGATAATGCCCTTCCCCTCTTATTGAGCTGGGATTCTGTTGCTGCCAAAGTTTCAAGCTGCCAAAGTTTCAAGCCTAAATAAGCTGTGACAGAGAAAGCCAATGCGACCTCTGGAACAAAGTGCAAATGTCTACTCCTTGTGGGTGTGCATTTGCTGTAAACTTCTGCGAAAGTTCTCGTTGTTTGTCCAATCGGCACTAGGTGGGTAATGTCGTCAGCATTACGCCGGCTGTCTTCACTTCCACAGGACAGACATCCTGTACCCATTTTAGGCTGGGTCGACTTGCGACGCCCCATACCATGATAAACAACCACGCTCTTGATGTAGATTAACCCTGATTCTACCTCAGCTTGTTTCCTGATACTGTAATTTCTTGCCCCTTCTCTTCTGAAAATACAAGTAAAAAATGTAGCAGCCAAATCATGGATGCCTCAAGTGAGTATTCATACCTTGGCTTTCATGATAGATGTTTTTCTGACAGCATAATTGTGTGGGTTTTTCCGGAACTTCTGTTTTTCTGCAACTATCTGCAAAAATGGAGGAAAAAAGAACAAAACAGTAATATCCAGTAATTTCATCCATGATCCACAGACGTCTACATGAATAACATGATATGCTGAAGAAAATAAGACCAACATAATAATTACAAGTCTGTTTATATACGAATGGACGTTTGGTTCCATGCCTTGCAGAAAAAATACAAAATTCAGTTCCTACTTTTTCTTGAACACCTTCAAACATCAACCTGAAAATGTTTGAAGAAAGCAGCAGCAAACATGAGATGGTGGACCACTCACAATTGTCATTGAAAATCAGTCACTAAAGGTCATCACTTTACTAGTTCCAGTAACATTCATCAGTATCTGTCATCTCCAGTTTTTTAGTCACTGTAACAGACTCACACAGCATGCTTCACACAAATTTTAAAAATGGCATCCTGTGCGTACAGTGGCTCACACCACTCAGATCGTGCGTACAGCGGTTCAAACCACTCAGATCGTGCATACAGTGGTTCACACTACTCAGATCGTGCATACAGCGGTTCACACTACTCAGATCGTGCATACAGTGGTTCACACCACTCAGATCGTGCATACAGCGGTTCACACTACTCAGATCGTGCATACAGCGGTTCACACCACTCAGATCGTGCGTACAGTGGTTCACACCACTCAGATCGTGCATACAGCGGTTCACACCACTCAGATCGTGCGTACAGCAGTTCAAACCACTCAGATCGTGCGTACAGTGGTTCAAACCACTTAGATCGTGCGTACAGCAGTTCAAACCACTCAGATTGTGCGTACAGCAGTTCAAACCACTCAGATCGTGCGTACAGTGGTTCAAACCACTTAGATCGTGCGTACAGCAGTTCAAACCACTCAGATCGTGCGTACAGAGGTTCAAACAACTTAGATCGTGCGTACAGCAGTTCAAACCACTCAGATCGTGCGTACAGCAGTTCAAACCACTCAGATCGTGCGTACAGCGGTTCAAACCACTCAGATCATGTGTACAGCGGTTCAAACCACTCAGATCGTGCGTACAGCGGCTCACACCACTAAGATCAGAAGTATTTCAGGAATTTTCTGCTCAGTGATTGTGGTGTGTGGGGTAATGAGTAGACTGATGGATTGGCTGCTGTCATCCTTTTGACTGGATGTGATGAAGGCTCTCTGAAACCAAGTGGACAGTGCAACATAACAGAGTATCCATTCTTTGAAAGACTGATCAGCGGGGAGCAGGCAGAGGGTCTGGATGATTTTCAACGCTCAGGGGGAAAAGACAGGCATTTTCAATCACGCAGCATATACCAGCATGGGAACAGAAAATGTTTGGGAATACCCCAAGACCAACAATGTCACTTCTCCATTCATTCTAAAGTTTTTTTTAAACAAGTGGTAATAGTCTCTTAGTCTCGTCTAGAGTCAAAAGATTCAAAGCAGTTTGGACATAATCACAATTGTGACCATACCACTAACCTCTTCTATATCTTTATCCTTCATTTTATAATCATGAGCTTGTTTAATATCGTCTTCCTTTCTCTGAATGTCATCCAGAGTTGGCAGCTGGTGGTTTCCCAGCTCCATGGCATCTTTCCACTTGGTAAACTCTGTGTCTGTGAAGTCTTGGTTGGAGACAAACTCCAAGCGGTAAACACGCTCGGCTCCTCCATGCCTGAACAGAAAATTTACCATGTTTAAAATTACAAACACATTTAATAACTACACGTCCCTGTGTGTTGATATCTTCATTGTTCTTTTCAACAGTGGTACTAAATCTTAGAACTTGTCTTTCTGTCTATTTAACTGAAAATATTTTGTTGTCGCTTAACCCCTGTAATTAATTTTTGTTCAGTTAACCTCTGTAATTTTTTGTTGGCTGAACGCCTATAATAATTTTTTTAATTAACCCCTGTAATGCTTTTTTTTTTAAAATTAAACCTTGTAATTATTTTTTTCACTGAACTCCTATAATTTATGTTTTCAAAAAATCTCTATAATTATTTTCTTCAATTAACCCCAGTAATAATTTTATTTATTAACCTAATTCCTTTTCTTCAATTAATTTCTATAATTTTTTCATTAAAAACTTATATTTTTTTTTTCTTTTACTGAACATTTAAATTAACCCCCGTAATTATTTTTTTAATTAACATTTGTAATCATTTCTGTCACTGAAGCCCTGTTTCTGTGCATGTTGATTTTGCTTCACTATTTATAATGTCTGTACCTGACATTTGTAGTGAGGATTGGTCTTTGTCTTTACATCCTTCTTCTTAAAGTCCATGCCATGTGGCGTTGGTAGTCATATTTCCCCACAACCTTCTGTCTCGTGCACTTTCAATCAACTCTGACACAGATGATCCTCCATGCCATGATGTCAAACTCTCCAGCATCTGTTCTCTCCGTCTTCCTCTGCCTCTCTTCCCCTCCAAATTTTCTACCATCATGATGTACCCCAGTTCTCATCACATGATCAAAGATGTAGATTGTGTTTTTCTGATGTGGGCAATCAGTTCTCTGCGTGAGTCAGTTTCTTTCAAGACGTCTTCCTTACACTTTTTATCTGTCCAGGCTATTCTCATCATTCGTCTATAAAACCACATCTCCACAGCTTCCAAATAAGTTTTCACTAATTTACCAACTGTCCATGATTTACATCACAGCTGGACTTTGGTCTCGTTCCATGTACATCCATTTTACAGATCTGGCTTATCTGTAAGCAGACTGTTGGTTCCTTGCCTCTCAGGCAGATGCACTCTGAATTCGAAGGAAGTCCCAATGAGTCCACTGTTACGACAGACGTGTTGTGGAGGCAATGGATCTAATCTTGTTTCCTCCACCATGGGGCACCAGGGCCCACAAGGGGAACCAGACATTTAATCTACAGTCAGTTTTATCAGCGCATATTACTTTTAGCCTGAGTCAATATGGGAACTGAATTAAAGTTCCCACTTCAACATAGCTTTGAACACTCAACCGATGGGTCTGGTATGCAAGCATTTTAGCCACTGTGCTACTGCAGTTCCCAAACAATAGATTAGTTAGTTAGTTGCGTATCCTTCACAGGATGTTGCAGAACCAACCTCAGAAGCCCCTGGCTGTTGTGTGGTTTCTCTTAGCAAATTTAAGTCCAGTAGTTTGCCATTTCTTTCTAGGCGGTCGGCACCCTGATACCACTGTCGAAACCAATGCAAGGTGCATGGCCCGCAGCTGGGATTGAACCTGGCACCCCGGCATATGAAGTGTTCGCATCGACTTAACCACAGAGCCGACAAACAATAGATACTAACAAATAATTTACAGAAAAAATACAAACACCACATATCAACCAAAACTAACAAACTGCAAGTACAAACCTTAGTTTCAGCCCCTTGTTTGTTTTGGTGGTGCCAAGCTGGTAGATTTTTGCTGTCTCCACAACATCGACGACTTCTGCAACCTGCAGCACATAAGATATCACTTCCAGTAACTTGATAAATAAAATATTCATAAACTGCACACACAAAAATGTCAGTGCGGAAAAATAAAATCTAGACTAGACACCAGCTCAGGTGTAACAGCTGCCAATGTGCTGGTTTAGCCATTTCATCCCGGGAACACTAAAAAAAAAAACCCATATTGGTCATGAACCCGCGGGAAATCTAATAAAACAAAATCCTTTAAAAAATAACCATTTCACACATTCATTCACTGTACTGCCATTTTAAGTCCCACAGGGCTCATAGTGTATTTATTTATCCATTCCACTTCAATCCTACCACTAGGTGGGTAATGCTGGCCGTCTTTACTTCCCCAGGACGTACATCCTGGTACCCATTTTTGGCTGGGTCGACCTGTGACGCCCCATACCATGATAAAAATCCACACAGCAAGCAGTGGGTTTCGATCGCGGTGTGTTGGAATTATGAGTCGGGCTCGCAACACCTAAGCCAGGGACGCTGCTTCACGTCAGCAATAATTGTTTTTTTAAACATATTTTTTTTTTTAATCGAAACATTTCAATATATAAATTGAGTAATCAATAAACAACCAAATGAAACAATGACTGGAATACATTTCCTAGGGATTTAAAATGAATTTCATGTCGTAACCTATCTCTATCAGCGAGTCTACAAGAAAATAACATTTGCAATTTTGTTTACATGTAATCCTTCTATAAATGCTATTTTTTAATTCAATATATTTGTATGCACGGTTCCTAAAGCTGTGCAGGCACACAAATACGGCAAAGCAATAACTAGACTTCACTAGGACATATCACTAGAACAAGTTGATAAAGTAACATTACAGGGAATTTGTGTGTCTCCCGAAAGCACTCTCACAGGCTTAGATTTATACGATCCAGGTCACACACTCATAGATAACTTATACATACATGAGAGCTTGTGTATCTCCTTCACACTTCCACTCTCATCTCAAGCAGCGGTTCTCAACCTGTGGGTCGCAAGACACTTTCACATGGGTCGCCAAAGACCATAGCAAAACATATATTCACCAAAGTTATGATTAATAATTGTAAGGTTGGGGGTTGCCACAACATGAGGAACTGTATTAAAGGGTTGTCACAACATGAGGAGCTGTATTAAAAGGTTGCCACAACATGAGGAACTGTATTAAAGGGTTGCCACCACATGAGAAACTATTGAAGGGTCGCCACAACATGAGGAATGGTATTAAAGGGTTGCTACAACATGAGGAACTGTATTAAAGAGTTGCCACAACATGAGAAACTATTGAAGGGTTGCCACAACATGAGGAACTGCAATAAAGGGTTGCCACAACATGAGGAACTGCAATAAAGGGTTGCGGCATTAAGAAAATTGAGAACCACTGATCTAAAGACTCACCCTGCTATGCAGATATAAAGATATAGAGGCATTTGCTAAGACTCACTCCTCTCTGTCCCTCACTCTCTATCCTTCTCAAAGATTATTTCTGATCTGCCGAATTAAAGACATGCATAACATCTCTCTCTCTTTCTCTCAGATTCAAGGACTTACCCTGATGTATAGGGGCACAGAATCAACTTACCCTGATGTATAGGGGCACAGAATCAACTTACCCTGATGTATAGAGGCACAGAATCAACTTACCCTGATGTATAGGGGCACAGAATCAACTTACCCTGATGTATAGAGGCACAGAATCAACTTACCCTGATGTATAGGGGCACAGAATCAACTTACCCTGATGTATAGGGGCACAGAATCAACTTACCCTGATGTATAGGGGCACAGAATCAACTTACCCTGATGTATAGGGGCACAGAATCAACTTACCCTGATGTATAGAGGCACAGAATCAACTTACCCTGATGTATAGAGGCACAGAATCAACTTACCCTGATGTAGAGGCACAGAATAAACTTACCCTGATGTATAGGGGCACAGAATCAACTTACCCTGATGTATAGGGGTACAGAATCAACTTACCCTGATGTATAGAGGCACAGAATCAACTTACCCTGATGTATAGAGGCACAGAATCAACTTACCCTGATGTATAGAGGCACAGAATCAACTTACCCTGATGTATAGAGGCACAGAATCAACTTACCCTATAAACTGGACGACCTTCATGGTTACCAATACCAATTCTCACATAACAACCAACAACAACTTTTTTAAAGTATGGCATGTGGCACCATCTGAAAATATATAAATTAATGATCTGTTAACACCGGAGATGTGCCCTGATCTAGAGTGTAACATCTTATACAGGTCAGAGATGTGCCCCAAACCAAAACCTTTCTTATATAGTTTACAGACATGTCTTAAAATAAAATCTTATGTCTTATACAGCTTAGGTAACCTAAAGCCGACATTCCGCAGCCAAATAATGTTTACATTTTCATTCAAAAGGTAATTACGTTTGACTCAAACCCAAGCTTAATAACTCATGCGTCCCATGAACATCAAAAGGATGGCAAATGTTGAAGGCAAAAGTATCTCCTACAATAGTTAGTGTGCACTTTTAACAGTTCTTAGAAAGTCACTGATGTATTCAACAGAGCAAGCAAGGCTTTTCTTTAAAAAAAAAAAAAAATCCCAGTACTTAACTCAAAGGATCTATTTTAAAAAAAATAGATTCAGACACACAAAAGTGTCTATTCCAGTGGCGCTTGGTGGGGGAGGGAGGGGGGATGCCACAACAGGTGCTGGTACTGCACACTGTCAGAAAGAAAAAAGCCCTGGGAGCAAGCGGTCAGAAGTTACACTGCCTGGGGCTGCACTCAACTGTAGCCCCTGTATGGATATCCAGTCTGTTCTGCTCACAGCCGAATACAAGTGCTCAGTACATGATCTTATCACAACAAGACTCTTGACTACAATGTGGAGACACTAATCATTATGCAACTCATCGAGTCAATCATGCCTGATAGTGGCAAACTTGATTTTGACAGTTATTTCTTGTGGGCTCAAGGGCTCACTCCTACTTTTTTTTTAAACTGGTGCACATAAGCAGCAAAGAGTTTTTGTTTCTATCTAGCATACTGTTCCTAGCATTTGACTGTCCCTTTTCTATCTGCAAAGCAAGATGCTTAAATCCTTCTTAATCAAGCACCTTTAGCTTGTCTAACTTGGGAACCATAAGGCCAACATCAGCATATTTTAGGATTTGTGAACACACAGGCTTCTCCACTGTTGCAAAATGGAGATATATATTCATGAGATGATCTGAATAACTAAATCCCCCACAGATCAAACTTTCAGAAACCCACTAATTCACAACTACTACATAGTTCAAATGTCCACCCTCATACACACCGTTAATAAACTACTTCTTTCTTTCAATCAAAGACAATTCTTGCTTATCAAAAAGCTAAATATTACCTTTCAATTTTATGTCGAGATAACCGTATTCGACTGAGTTCCTCTTTAGTTGTTATGAACTTGGATTTTTTGTGTCTTGGTCGTCTAATTCTGCAAAGTATCCATTTAAAATACCTCAGCCAAATGAAAGAGAACATGTCACATGTGACAAATGCTACAAGAAAACTTGGTCACAAAATATGTATACACTCAACTTTGAAAGATGAAGAACAAATAAACGGAAGGGATAATGAGGCAGGACAGATGGAAAGAGTAAGGATAGAAAAAATCAATGACAAGTTTAACAGAGCTAAATATTTTACAAAGTATTAACAGCGAGAAAGTTTTCAGTCATGTTCATATTTACACTGCTAACTTGACAAGTTGTCACATTTAACATTGTTTACTTTGTAAGCTGATACAAAGTGTTAACGTCCAGAAAGTTTTCAGTCATGTTCATATTTACACTGCTAACTTGACAAGTTGTCACATTTAACATTGTTCACTTTGTAAGCTGATACAAAGTATTAACAGCCAGAAAGTTTTCAGTCATGTTCATATTTACACTGCTAACTTGACAAGTTGTCACATTTAACATTGTTCACTTTGTAAGCAGATACAAAGTGTTAACGTCCAGAAAGTTTTCAGTCATGTTCATATTTACATGCTAACTTGACAAGTTGTCACATTTAACATTGTTCACTTTGTAAGCTGATACAAAGTATTAACGTCCAGAAAGTTTACAGTCATGTTCATATTTACACTGCTAACTTGACAAGTTGTCACATTTAACATTGTTCACTTTGTAAGCTGATACAAAGTGTTAACAGCCAGAAAGTTTTCAGTCATGTTCATATTTACACTGCTAACTTGACAAGTTGTCACAATTAACATTGTTTACTTTGTAAGCTGATACAAAGCAAGCTATGTTCAGGCAGACTGGGTTGGGTAACAGTTCTTTTACAATCTATAATATAGAGTTACAGTGACTACAGGTTACAGTATTTTGTGATGTGATAAGTAGCTCTCTTCTCCACTGCCTATACTTTCCAGAGAAATTCCTGGTAGTAACCCTGTGCACCAAACAACATGAAAATTAAATTTCACCTGTTTAACAAGCACAGACTAAAAAGCAGATTAAGTGAATTCAACATAGCACTGAAAATTATCCATTATTCCCACTTTTTCTCTCTCCTCTCATACCATAAATGGGAACCTTCCCACTTTGTTCTCTCTCCTCTCATACCATAATTGGGAACCTTCCCACTTTGTTCTCTCTCCTCTCATACCATAATTGGGAACCTTCCCACTTTGTTCTCTCTCCTCTCATACCATAACTGGAAACCTTCTCACTTTGTTCTCTCTTCTCTCATGCCATCTCTTTTTTCGCAACACACTAGAAATATCTCAAAGTGCTCAACCCTGATAGTACTAATAGGATTGCAAACACTGCTGCCACAACTTAGCCTTCAGCGAGTTGTAATGCAGTGGATACGGTGTCATTGTGGAGTGCCTGATCAACTGGCAGGGGAAGGTGAGACAAAAGTGCAGCCGGATGTACCAGTCACATACCACCAAAAGAAAAGAATCATTAAATCGATCAGGAAACAACCAGCCCCCGCACAAGACGACTATTTTATTATGGACAGACCAGAACAAGTCATTATCTTCCGCCTCAGAACAGGGCACAACCGATTACGTAACCACATGTACACAAAATTCAAGATAGGCGTATCAGCCATGTGCACCCGTGGACAGGTGCTTCAGACAGCAGAGCATGTACTCCAGGACTGCACCGAATTTGACACATTAAGGCAAACCTTTTGGCCAGAAAAAACAACAGTGGAACGTAAACTCTATGGACCACTGAATGAACTAACGACGACAGCGAAATTTATCCAAGAGACAAAATTGCTGATATAAACTTATTTCAGGCAAACGAAAGAAGAAGAAGAAGTACTAACAGGGATCCCAATGATGAATCGGCTCAAATACTCTCTATAATTTTCCACGGCTGATATTCTAGTGCCCTCACCTGAGGCAGCTAGGAATAAGACCTACTATCAAAACATCCCACTAGAGCACAATATCTTTATATTTCATTTGTCTAGGAGGTGATGGGCCAAAACAATAGTCGACCAGGGATCTTCTACTGATGATTGGTAGACTCCTGCTGTACATGCTTCCATGTGAAGTTCTTCCTGCTTTCAATTCTCCACAACAGAATACTGACCACTCAGTTTTCAAGTTAAGAGACAGACATAATACTTAAGTCTCTTCTGTCTCTAAGCCAAACAGCAAACATTAAAAAAAGCATTCAAACTGTCACAGTTTTTCTTCTGAAAAGGATAAAAAAAATTCAACAATAAAGATAACAACGAGCTTACTCTTCTTCAGATTCTGACTGTGAAGAATCTCTATCACTGGCCTCAGAGTCTGAATCTGCACGAACCTCCACTCGCTCTTTCTCCTTTTCTCTTTCCCTCTCTTTCGTTTCCTTTTTCCGTTCTTCCTTATCACTCTTATTGTCAGCGCTGCCGGCATCATCATCATCGTCGTCATCATCATCGCTGTAAATGTCACTGGCCTTGATTTTCTTCTGCGCTTGAATCTGTTCCGCTGTTTATAAATATATACAAAACGAACATATTGTTAGGGTCTGACACATACAAACTGAGAGCTGACTAGAACACCGGAATATATACCACAGAACAACATAAATACACAGAATAAAACATATATATATATGTTTAGAAATCTATGCAAATAGAACACACTGTTAAGGTGCTGACACATACAACATAGGACAACGTCATGACACCTACATATACATAAAGAGCAACACAGAGAGTTTCTGTGTACACAATACAGGCCAGCAATAATATGGCACCTTTATACACACCATCATCATTATCAGATGCCTTGCCGGCTGGTGTGGGCGATCATGCCTCTCCATAATCCACGATCTCCTGCAGCATGTATCAGTTCGTGTGCCGACACACCTCCATGCCATGCAACAAGACTGTCAAGAATCTTCTCTCGTTGTCTTCCTCTATCCCTCCTTCCACAGATCTTTCCAGTGGTCACAACATGTTCTATTTTCCCTCTTCTCATAACACGGCCAAAAAATGATGACTGTCTCCTTCTGATGTCTGTGATAAGTTGTCTTTGGGCTTCCGCCTCTTTCAAAACCTCTTTGTTGCTCTTTTTGGCTGTCCAAGGTATTCTAAGCATTCTTCTGTAAAACCACATCTCTGAGGACTCTAGAAATTGTTTGGCCTGCCTACCGATTGTCCAGGATTCACAGCCATATGTTAAAACTGGATGTATGTAGCAAGCAAGAATCCTTTTTCTAACTCTCAATGACAAGGATATATTGCACAAGATGTTTTTCATTTTATAAAATGCAGTTTTTTTCCTGTCCTATTCTGTTTCTTATCTTTGTTATGCATCTTCCATCTGATGTTATCCATGTGCCCAGATACTTAAATTTCTGTACTTGTCCTAAAATAACACCATTTACTTTTATTACACATTTAGAAATAATTTGTTTATTTGATACCACCATTACTTCTGTCTTCACATTATTCAAACTGAGGCACATTCTTCCACTTTCTAACACCACAATGTCTATCATTTCCTGTAGTTCTTTCTGACTTGTTGCTATCAAGACTGTGTCATCTGCATAACGTAAATTGTTTATATTGTGCCCACCAACTTATACACACCACATCCAAATAATTCATGCTGGTGAATCCTTTCTTTTATGCAAATTTATTGTATTTTTTACACACTCATTCCAATTCTAATGTCTTCACACTTTGTTTTCTCTCCTCTCATATCATAATTGGGAACCTTCCCACTTTGTTCTCTCTCCTTTCATACCATAATTGGGAACCTTCCCACTTTGTTCTCTCTCCTCTCATACCATAATTGGGAACCTCAAGGGTATTGAGTGTTAGGAAATGAAAAGGCAGACAGAATGGCTGGTGAATTTATGACAAGCTAGGTAAGGCAGCAAGTGAACAACGCAGATGCACAAATTGATCATTACGGTATGGGCAGAATGATACAGCTGAGAGTGGCCGGGGGATCTGGTCAACACTCTAACACTCCACTCAGAGATCTGGTCAACACTCTAACACTCCACTCAGATATCTGGTCAACACTTTAACACTCAAATGAAATGCAAGACGGACTTATAATCAAACAGCTACTGGCATCAACGAAATTGGAACTCTTTGCTGGCTGCTGAAGATAAGGACGGAGAGCTCCCGGGAATGCCCCAAGTGCTGTCAGGTCAGGTTTGAGCTCATCACACAACAACACTATTTCAGCATCATTTCCTTTCTTGTGTTGTCCTGTTTTTCATTGCTGTTTGCTGATGAAAGCTTTTTGCTGCAACCTGAAACTGTCAAGTCAGGCAGGCTGGCCAGTAAAGGACCCTCTTCCATGCCCTCAGGTCTATTGGGCATATACGGCTAGACCTATATTTTATAGACCAATCAGCACTTGGTGGGTGATGTGGTGTGACAAAATGACCTCAGTGGTCTCAGAAGTTATATTGTGTTTGATAATTTCTTATGTTCAGAGAAGGACAAAGAATTAAGAGCAATAGACACTGAGCCTAAAATAGTTCTAAAACCACTACAAGGGATTTGAGAATTGTTTAAACTGTGTTTCCAATCTCTAGCCAGACAAAGCAACCTTGCTTTAGGTAATATTACCTTGGCTAGGAATTCCTTTCTCATGCCCATGTCATATAATTATCTCCTGCCCAGTCTGTAGAGGCGAGTAAAGGGGGAGATAACTTCGTATCACACCTGAGGTTGGCTCCCCTGAATCCGACCGTAGGGGCATAAAAATTACATAACACACACTGAGTGGGGCCGTTTGATCAAACTGAAGCAGGGGAATTAGTGGTCTGATAGACATTTCTAGACAGGATGGCATCCAGCGGCTGAAGTTTTCACACATGATAGTGAAATTCTCAAGAGAACAGATGTTTGGCAATTAGGAATGTTTAATCTTGGTCAAGGTCGTACTGTAGGCCGTTCACTGTGAGTGACAGGCCCATTGATAGCTAGGTTGATCTGCTAGGTACCTCAGAGGCAGGGCTTAGGTCATCTCCTTGAGGGTTGGGTAGAACCTAGTAGAGGGTGGAGTTTAACCTTGCAGACAGATAGAGGTATTAATAAGAGCAGCCCTGGAATTTCTGTCATAATCGCTGCGACAGGCAACAAACAGGTCGACCTTAGAGGTAATTCTAATGGTTTGATTCTAGTTTGGCGATAGCTGGAAGTTTCCAGGTAAGCCTGTACAATTATTTTCAATCTTGTATACATAGGTTAGGGAGTTAGCTAAAATCTATTCTACCTTTTCCTAAATTGTTCTACACATTCTGCTTGAAATAGTTCTTTGTGAGTATTCAGTATCTCAGTTAGGGAACTGCTAAACTATTTCTATTTCTTGTATGTTTGTGGCACATGTTTTTCAGTGTATGTTTTCATGTTTATAAAATAAGACTTGTATACTGAAATGTAATGAAATTATAATGTTTCAACCATCAACAAAAACCTGAGTTTGGACTGTGGGAAATGATGCCCACACATGCAGCCATGCTGTTACATTTTGTGTGCCCACCATGTGCTCACCTAATGTGTTCACCTAAACAGGGGATTTATAACCCCAGTGGAAGAATCATGAGTGTATATTATTCACTGTCACTGAAAGATAATATTCAGGACAGCATGCTCGTATAAAATGTTTGGCGTGTTCAGCACATAACCTGCGCCACATGTTTATGTCAAATCAATGTCAGCAAGTTGGAAGTCTGAGTGATGACGGACAACAGAAAGTCAACTATCATGACAGAACCTTAGAGGGAAGGCAGGATATGTGAGACGTCGATTGTGAGACACAAAGACCTTCAGAATAGACTGGAGAGAATGTGGAATATGAGGAGGAGTGATGAGATATAATGTATTATTATATATTGTATTAATTGACACATGTATTCTTAGTGTAAGTCAAGATACTACACGTATGTGTTTGTTTCCATTATTACAGCTCCCATGTGGGTGAGGATCAGTCTTTTCTACAAAAAAGAAATAGAGGGTCATCACGGTCACGAGACTACATTGTGTTAGAACTCGGCCAGCTGGGAAACAGGTGGGAACCAGGTGGAAGGACCAGGAGAACTGGGCGGAAAGACTGGAACAGCTAAGAAGGGTCTCAACACGAGGACTCTCAGAGGTTCCACTTTCTAAAGTTATGTAACATGTATTTATGTAACTAAACACCACCATTATCATTTACTCTTATCTTAGGGGCTCAGTTATCAAGCTGAAGTATCCCATTACCACCATACCATCACTATTGACTAAAAATATAAAGAACTAAAATGAATGTTAGGATAATAAATCAAGTATATGGTCTTATCCTGCATCAGTTTTTATAATTCCAAGTGTGTCTGTTCTTACATGTTTAATTAAACTGTTAAGATAGAATAGCATTTGGTGGGGGCTCATTAAATAATAATAATAATTCTGTACCAAGAGAAGGTCAACGGATTGGGTCAACTGCCCTGTCTAGTAAATAATTCAAGATAATAATATATAGACATCTAAAACCCATTTCCTTCTCTTGTGGGTACCAAGTTCAGCTAAAGTTAATATAAATAACGAGCCAATAGGGCTGTTTTCTTGGATATCCAGGACTTTGTCTGAGAGCAACATAGCCCAGATAATAGTTCAGTTAATCTGGTGGAGGGGATGTGTTGAGAGGAAAATCCCTACTCAACATATAAATCATTTAAACCCAAATCCAGGAAACCCACGACCCGGGACGACACACGGAAAGTGTTGTACTTTCCAAGGGAGTGGGGCGGAACGTCACATGTGGTCAGCATCATGCCGACCACCTTCACTTCCCAGGGTTTTACCTAGTACGTATTTAAGGCTGGGTTAATCAGGGAGCCCAGGTCTTTTTTTTTTTTTAAAGTCTAGTTCCTAAGGACCTGAACCCGTGACCTTTGATCTGTAGGCAAGCATGTAGCCTACACTACGGTGGCTCCATTGTTGGCCAATCCACAGACATATTCTTGAGAAAGAAGTGTACTGATGTCTCTAATCTAACATCCAAGTGCTTCAGTTTACTGGGATACTGTTCACCATAACTTGTTTGCTTCAAGAGTATCAGTTGTTGGGAGACACACAATCTTCATGGAGGCTAGACAGAAGACTATACCCCCTGACTCGTCAGTGCAGACAAAGTTGCAAATTAAACGACCCATTTCAGGATGCTGGACTTAGAATGTATGTGTGGTTAGGGCAGGAAAGAAAAAATGTGAGAAGACAAATTCAGTGTGTTTACAATCACCATTTACTGGTCCAGTCAACATCTATTGCTTGCTTAATGCAATGCAAAGACCAGTAACCAGTCACGAATGCTGTTTTCAGGCAACTAAAAAGTGTTAACACAGGACTGGCTATTTCATCCCAATAAAACCTTTAATGCAAATTCCAGCCAATCAGAAACGAGTTTAAAGAATGTTGAAGTTCATGACTGACCGCCTACACTCCACTTGGAGAGTAAATAAAAAAAAAAATAGAATCAATATTAACACACTGCAATATTTGCTAAGGAAGACCAGACTTTATGTGTTTGCTTACTGTATTATGATGTAGATTCTGTTGTTGACTTTAACATTAGTTCTCTACTTCCACATCAATCTGTTGTGGGTAGGTTTCTCAGTTTTGGAATTCTGCCAGGGTAGCGACTTTTGCAAAGTTTACTCTCTACAAATTGCTGACAAATCTCTAACAGGAACCTCCTGTTATACTGCATTAATCTGAGAACCTGTTAGCACAAAAGAAATCTTCGAGCGCCTGGTCGCGAGCAGACCCCAGTAAACGTGAGGCTCCAATCCACAATCACCCAACCCATGGGAAGCGACCCCAAATAAGGCTGAGAACGGCTTTCTTTAGGGTCGCTATGAAGTAGTGAGCCAGAAATATTTGTTTGAAGCAAACAGAAGAGAACAAAAATCATGTCATAATGTTCTGCACAGAGAAAGATCGAAGTATTGTCATTTATCCTATCAACAACCCTACATATAATGGGAGCGCCACCTGAGAAAGATTAGAAACTTGATCTAATGTGTTGATACATTTAGTGCTGCTTATTTTATTTATTTCTCTATTCCATCTCTTCTATTGTAATGCCCATAACTTTCTTCCTGATTTTGACCCATGATTTTGTAAAGCAACAGCAAATATACAGAAGCGTTTATAGAAAAAAATACGCCAGCTGATTATTTTATATCGTATGAAAACAAATATTGCATACCTTTCTTCTTCTGTTCCTCTCTTTTGGCCTTTAGATCCTGAAAAGCTGAGGTCTTTTTGTTATCTTTTCGTTGTTCAATGTGTTTTCTTCGTTCCTTGCTTCTCTCACTGATTGTTGGCAGCATCTGCTCATTGACTGACTTAGATTTCTTCTGTTCCTTCTTGGCCTTCTTTAGTTTCTTTTGTATTTCAAACCTGTTGAATGATGAACAGAGAAAGCAAATTCAGGAGCATTCAGGCCCAGAATAAGAACACCCCCCCCCCCCCCATGAATGAAACACCCTGTATGTAAATAAAACCAGCATTCCACATTTTACAGAAACATTATTATGCATCGTTATGAAGAAAATATTATGTTTAACATACGACCAGAATTCAACAATGATGCTTTTTGTCACCTTCTTCTTCTTATGCCTACTATCTACCAATGGAGCATAAGCTCTCACCCAACTGACAATAAGCCCTTCATATTTTTGTTGTGATTAGTTGGATTTTAGGCTAGTTTTATACAAGATAGAAAAAAAATTATTGTTATGCCAAACCCTCTTAATTGCCTTTTATGACATGCAAAGTAAGTTAGTGTTCATCATCATCCCGTAACCTTGGTGTCTCACCTGGAGGTCTTCTCTGTTGCTTGACTGATACACTAAGCATCAAGCAACAGAGGACAGGTGATAAAAATTGTTAGCTAAACTTATGTATATTTATGTGTGTGTGTGTGTATATATATATCTCTGATATACAGGTATGTATATGAAATATGGTTGCCTGAAATACAGATATATGTATCTGATCTAGATCTTAAAGATGCATCTGTTTATATGGTGAAAGAGGTGCTCTTGTTCGATTTGTTTAATGACAACAAAATAACACCGTGATTCAAAAAAGTTACTTAATATTGTTAATGCTTTTCATTCTATCACCAAAACCAACTCTGACCTTTTTTTCAAAGCTGCTCGACGTTCCATACGATTAAACAGCTCCTGTTCTCTTTCTTTTTCTGTCATGGCCTCCAGCCTCTTCTTATCCTCATCATCGCCGATGAGGTTTTCATCATAACCATCGTGAAACTTGTCTTCATCTGAGTCGGAGTCGTCGCTGCCTGAATCTGACACCTCACCTGCAGGGCAAGCAGACAACATTGCATCAAGTTTTGGGCAAAACTTTTAAATACAACAAAACTCATTCAGGATAAGTAATCAATGTCTATCTCTGTACTGGCATGGATCGTGACCAGCAATGTTTGTCTAACACTACATTACTCACATTACTTTATCAACATTATTTGCTTATTTATATTACCTTACCAATAATGTCTGTTCATTACATTACCAACAGTGTGAGCTTATTACATCACAAACTCTGTGTACATCATCATTACATCACTAACAATGTTTATCATTACATAACCAACAACACTCATTATATCAAAACATTACCCATCGTAACATTATCAACAATGTGTATGTCATTACATCACCAACAATGCATATCATGACATCATAAACAATGTCTGCCCATTATTACATCAACAACAATGTGTACCTGTCATTACATCACCAACAATGCACATCATGACACCATCAACAATGTCTGCCCATTATTACATCAACAACAACATGTACTAAGACAATAAGATTACAGGACAATTGTAAACAAAGATATCTAATATGTACTGAGACTACTAGATAACAATAACAAGACAACTGTCAACAATATCTAATATGTACTGAGACTACTAGATAACAATAACAAGACAACTGTCAACAATATCTAATATGTACTGAAACAAAAATATTACATGTAATCTGTAAACAGTGATAGATACCTTCTTCAGGTTCTGAAGCTGACTTTTGTTCTTCATCTTCCGCCTCACTGTCTGAAGATATGGCTGTAGCTTTCTTCTGTGGTTTGGCCGTTTTCTTTTTCTTCTTTGCGCCACCTTTGCCGTTGACTGTCCACTGAAAATAATGTCCCACAGAATAGGAATAAAACACTTTAATAAAATCAATTCTTTCTTTTATGAATTTTCCCTTTAAAGTGTTGTTGGCTCATTGTACTGTGGTTTACAGCTAGGCTGTGATTTCTGCAACTTTTGGCCCAACACATTTGAATTTAGCAAACATCTAATTGGTTACCTTTTGTGATAGGTGTGTTAGAGGGCACTTTAATGGGGCCCCGGAAAAATAATATCAACAATAACACAGGCAAGGAAATATGTGCAGCATACCTGCCAATCATGTATGTCTTTTTGGAGACGGGCTGTGATAGAAGTGATGTTCTGCTAATTCTTTGCTAGTTTCTGTAGAAACAAAAAATTGTGTGAAGGTGGGGGAGGGCAACCCCGAACGTCCAACCCTCCTCCTTTCCTAACCAGGCTTTGTACTAGCAGTGTCGGAGCTGCCAGCCCTAGAGTCACTAACAAAATATCTTGTTCATCTAGTTTGCCTCTCGTGCCTGGTGATGCCGATCTTTACTTCCAATCCTCAAATTCTTAACTGCGATATGGAGGTGCTGCTCCCAAAATCCTTTGATCTCTCTAAGTGCATCAAAAAAAATGTGGGTATGATCCATAGGATGGCAATCTGAGATCTAAGGCAGAGCTGACCAATCCATCAGCTCTTTCAATGCCAACAACACCTGCATAACTGTGATGATGATGAAGGTTAGTTCATGTATAGTGTTCTACAGTGACTCAACCTACTGTCTGTGTAGAGAACCTGTTTCTAGCCTAAGCAGGTGCTCACACATACAACAAAATAGGAAATGCATTTTTTTCTTTACGAAATGTTGGAAGGGAGACTGGCTCTAGCAATGCAGAGGATAAACAGAATTAGGAGTCTACAGGAACAACATGAGCAAACAAAGGAAAGTTGATAACATGGATCATTTCCAGTCACTAAAGAAGTAAATCCATGGTTTTTGGACAGAAAAATGTCTACTAAAATAGCTATAACAAAACAGAACCTCCTTACACTGTCTCAACCATTCAATAAGTGCCATAAAACAAAAGCTATGTAACATCAAAGTTCTGACTAATTTATAACAAATTCAAAGAAGCTTACGTCATCGTCACTGTTTGATGTCTCAGAGTCTGAATCACTTTTGGCAGCAGGCTTGCTTTTGCTTGTCTTTGATTCGGACTGTGAGTCTGAGCTAGCTCGTCTTCGTTTCACCAATGCACGGAGGCCCTGAAACAAAAACAGAAGCTAACTAAACAATGGTTTGAGGGATGAATAACAGAAGCAACAATAATCTTTGTTGAAATCCTTTTTTCATTTTTATTTAAGTTAGCCGTGGGTACTTTAAGTACATTGCAGAACCAACCCCAACATTTTTGGGCTTTTCATGATTTTACTAGTCAATTTAATGCTTGGTAGTTTGCCAATGTCTACTGGACGTAGCTTTTGCATTCTCCTCATGATGTTGCAAAAATGTTACATCGGTCATTCCAGACAATGCTATTCATGCTTTTTTGGGCTTTGCAGGGGTGATATTTCTCTGCGAAATCTTTGACATCTATCCGTGGCTTTGTCCCAAGAGGTAAACAAAGAACGTATGCAGTGTCATGACTAATTCTGACTCATATAAACTCTAGCATGCTGCTCATATTCCAAATAAAGGTCATATACCAAGAAAAAGTTTCTGCATCTAAAGATTTAAAGGGGACATATACCAAGTTGAACATATACCAAAATCAAATGTACAGCAAGGTACTACTATAGATTATCAGAGAGACCAAAGATCACCTTCCTGTGGCCTGACAATTATTAAGATTCTCAGGCCAGGGGACTGTCGGAACAGACCACAAAACTCAAATTACTGTCAAATCTGTGTTTACTAAGTGGTCCAAAATGGACTCATGCTACAAAAATCTGGTGTCGACAGATCATACTCACTCAGTAAGTCACTGCACATAGAACCATTTTTAATCCAGAAGTGAGAAGTTAGTCGACAAATTATCATCACTGCACACCGAGCCATTCAGTTCATAAATGTCTGGATCCTCGCCTTACTAAATCCTGCAATGTATGGTGCCTGGTTTCTTATTCTTCTCTGGCTTCTTGCATAATTCTTTTGTCTGGCCACAACCCTTTTAACATGATGTTTATACAGTCTGGTCATGGTTGCAGATTCAGTCATCACTTAGTTCTCGAAAATTGCTTACTTCATGCAAAGTAGTATTCATAATATTTGCCTGGTTCATAGCTCATCTGCCCTCCACAGTAGCTTTACCTGCAAGCCCATCAGCTTGCTTATTTTCTAGTATGCTTGTGTGCCCTGGCACAAATGTGAAACTGATTTACGTCAGCCCTGACCCCTTTAAAAACTCTAACCACTGACTTAGGACCCAGACCATCTCTATATTCCTGTGTAAATGCAGCATCCCCCTGCAGAGAATTCTCAAAAATCAAAGTGAGAAGTGCTCGGATCCTGTTTCCTTAGTTCAGTATACCCATAGTCTGTGGCATGTTTGCAGTATTTACACATGTTCTCTAGTCTCATTCACTCACTTGTGATTTAAAATTTTACATTCTAATTGGTCTCCTTTGGCTTACTGCTTACTAAACTAACTTTTTTGGCTCACTGTTTTTGCAACTTTTTAGGATGCTGGCTCAGTCTACAGGTTATTCAGAAGTTTAAACTTTTAGTCCTCTTGCCTCTGTAATAACTTATAACAGTCTATCAACCCATTCACTGATTCAAATTACTGTTCTTCAGTTACTTTTCTTTCCCATTTCATTATTTTAATTGAAGCAAGGTTATAATATATTATATACAATAATCAATATAATTATAAACGTGTTTTTCTGTTGTGTTGAGTTGTGCTAAATTTAGTATAAAAAATGTGTATCATATATAATATATATCATATTATTAAAATGAACTACTTTTACTACTAGACTGAGCCTTTAAAAAATAAAATAAACGACATTTGATTTATGTTAATATCATACTCTTTCAGTGTATTCCATATTTAAATTTACTGACACTGTCTTAGTCTTACGCTTACTTGATCTTTAGTCTTTACTTTCTCTCATTTATTTTCAGAACTTGGTACTTGGTTATTTTTTTTTTTTTTTTAATTAATCACTTACCTCGTCTAAATCTTCCCCGCCGCTGCCACTTTCGTCACTGTCAGAGTCAATCAACGCGGCAGCCTTTTTTCTTTTAGACATTGTGAGAATCTTTTTCCAAAAAACAAATTTAAAATATAACTGACACAGCGAAGTCGTCTTGTCGATGGAAGTACTTTCATACAACCACCATTGTGATACCAGATTTTTATTAACTTCCTGTGGTTGACCAAAGAGAGAAACGCTTCCCTCGGTTATTTCGGTTTTTTCCCCCATCATAACAAACATTTAACACATAAATATATATCATCAAAAATATATTACGAAAATAAATTACTAGTGCTAATTAAATCGATTTACACTTTGCATTGTCAATGAAATCATTGCCGAATCTCGCTAAGATTATTTAATATTTTTTTTTTTCAAATTTAATCATTGGCATCACATGTTAGTTCAACAAATCCTCAAGGTTGGCTGTGCACAACTTGGTGGAATACTGCTACATGATAGGGCAGACGTGGTTAGTGCCTTGTAAGAGAGCGTGTACAGTTCGGAGCAGCAGTCTGGTGAGATTGATGCAGAGGGGAGTGACGAGAGGTTCTGGCAAATGCTCAGAGGAAAGGCAAGAAGAACGTTTAATCAGAATGCTACTGGCACCATTAGTATCGGAACTCTTCGCTGGCTACTGAAGATGGGGACGAAGCGCTTATGGAAATGCTCCAAATGCTGTGATGTCGGTTTTTGAATCAAATCAAATCAATCCTCATTAGTTAGGACTGTCGTCCCTGCACTCCGGACAAATCTATAGATTCTCCGATCCTTTCTACCCTAGCTACTCAAGCCATAAAACGACTGTTCTGTATTGATTAATCAAACGTCCTACACCCAAGAATCTTGACCTCTTTTGATGATGTCTTAGTCCCCGGACAACCGACTCACTATCAAATGCCCAGGCCTGCAAATAAAAACATAAGAGCGCATGGGTATTTACAGCTCGCTCTTCAGGCAAAACAGTTCAAGAAGCCAGCGGTGCCTTCTCCATGACTACCAGCAGCATGACGATGGAGGTGATTGCGGTGACACAAGCTTTCATGTGGCTAGAATCACAGGACTTTCCCCGCGTGCGTGTGCTGGGTGATTATTTGAGCATGATCCGGTGTTTCGAGGCAGGCTAGTTACGCAGACTGTGGATTGAGTCATTGCAAAACACATGTGTGTGCAGTTACCTTCATATTTGTCCTAGGGCATGCAGGTGTTGTTGGTAATTTAAGAGCTGGTAGACTGGCAGGTGCTGCATTAATTGAAGATGGCCGGCCCATGGATCACGCAGACATTGTCAATGTCCCTAGACAGATAGGACGTTCTGAGCATTTTGGAAGCAACGTGTCCACATCACTGCAATTAATAGGAGAATTGGAAGTAAAGATTGGCATAGCCAAGCATAAGAACTACACCGGATACACACGAAGTCTTGTCAACCTGCATAGGACTGGCACTATTAACCGCACGACGCTGATGAATATGTTGAGAGGGGAATCTTAGCACCTATGGGTGTGTCCAGAGTGCTGTGAAGATAATCCATCTCATAACTCAAAACTTAAAAATAAAACTCAAAAGTGTGTAGCAGACCAGATTTGATAGAAGTTATCTGTCTCGTTACTTCATATCCTAACACAGGAGGATGATCAGTGTTGGATGCATCGATGCCTACTCATTTGGGAATAAATGGTAATAAAATGGCTGATAGGAATGCCATTCTTGAAAAAGTTTTTTATGAAGATAAAATCGGCGAAAGATAATCAAGTATTATACTAAGAGCATTTCTTCCTCGATCCTTCTGAGAGAAAACGTATATCAATAAGCGGGTAGTCTTTATGGAAGAAATCGCGCAGTCCATATATCACAGAACATGCTTCGGAAAATAGAAACTGGCGTCCTCCGCGCAGAGCGTATTGTTCAGCTGATAGGATTGAGCAGGAGCATCTGGATTTTCTTTCCAGGATATTCGGATGTGCGGAGTAATAAACAGTTTTATTTTCAAGCTGATAGATTGGCTGCTACCGTCACTCTGGGTGATGAGCTGCTTATGATAAAGCGGATGTGGTGAAGGCTGTCTTGGATCAAGTAGAAAGTGCAGTAGAATAGACCAAGTATTCATACATTGATGGACTAACTCAGCGATGATGAGCAGGGGGCCTGAGAGATATTCAACGCTGCGGGGTAGACATAGGCGGATTTTTAATAGGGTTGCAACAGATACTTTTAGCATATCAACCCATCGTTGGATACTTAAGAAGGAGCCGTTGCACGTGTGGGAATGTCACGAGTGCAGTGATGTGCATCCTTCATTCATTCATTTATTCACGCATTCATTCATCTCCACGAACCATACGCATTTGTCTTCGTTGTGGTTGTAACAAGCCATATCGTTGGCAACATACAGTTGACAGAGTCGGCATTTTCTGGTGCCAAGCTGCAGGAACTCGTCTGCGTGTTTACTACACACCCAAAAGTTTGAACAGATGTTGGTGAAGCTTATTGTGCACTGTCCTTAGTCTGAATATAATACTGTTAACACTATGTCCCTCTCTAGAGAGGGGATGAAGCGAGTCTTGAGGAGAAAATGTAATGTGTGTGTTTTCAGCCACCTCTCTAGGATACTGGATTGTATGAATGTTTTAGTTTCTTGGTGGGTTAAGTAACCATTTGTTTCCAATATGTCACTTCCGCATCTGGCCAATATGTGTGTTTTGTGATTGCCTTTCAACCCACAGTGATCAGGAATCCACTGCAGTACAAACTGTTCTACTAAAGATCTCCAGTAAATAAGCTGTTGCCTGAGGAAGAAGGAGGAAGATGAGGAGGAGGAGGGGCGTAGTACCTCAACCACCTCAGGCGAAGTCGTCCTGTCATCCATATCTTTTAAATTTAATTCTTTCTCTCTTCTCTGTGTGTGTTATTTTTTTGTGGGGGGGGGGGGGGGGGGGGGAGAAAGGGGAAGAGAGAGAGAGAGAGAGAGAGAGAGAGAGAGAGAGAGAGAGAGAGAGAGAGAGAGAGAGAGAGAGAGGGGGGGGTCTGCTTTTATTTCTATGCCTCTGTGGGTTCTGGTTCAAATACATTGTTCTGTTCTTGTTTGTTTGTTTTTTTAGCGTGTCCTGTCCAACGCCGCAGGCTCTTTTTTCGCCTCATTGTTATTATATCATATAAAGATATAAAACCGAACAAAAAGTAGATCAGTGAGCTTCACAAAATAACACACACCCACACACACACACACACACACAAAGGTGAACGTTGCCTTCATTAGCACATACATTCATAAATCAAACAAAACCACACGAAATATTATGAGTAAATTTGTTTCATGTTCAGACATGTTTACATAAGGTAGTTTTTAACTGCACGCTGTTTACGGAAGTGATCACTAGATGTATCGTCTGCAGGCTTCTATATATAACTCTAGACAACTAGAGAAAGTGGAGACGTTATTTGTCATAATTATGCTTGTAATGTCATCTCTTTGTAGTTGTAGGATTCTTAAATATCACATTACTTGAGAAACCTGAATGTATAGAGGAAACAATGAGACAAAACTTTAAACGAAGACTTAGAACTAGGTCGTCAAAGCAAACCTGCGAGGAAAAGTTCTGTTGTCCTTTCATTGATACGGAGGCAAAGTATTATTGTCAGGACTGTAAGACAGCACAGTGTCAGGCTTGTGAAAGCAGCCTTCATAAGACAAAAGTAAAATATGATTTCCACTGCCGGAAACCGATAGCTGTCGTTTCAGAGAGCAGTTTGTGCCAGGCTAAAAAGGTAAATCTTGTATGCCAAGAGAGGAACTATCCTGATCTATGGTGTGAGCAGTGCCAAGTTGGACTTTGTTTTACCTGCTACGACACGTATCATGCATCAGACAAGCGGCGACAACACATCAACGTTTCAATAGCCCATCATTTGAAAAAACAGCAAAAGGAAAAACAGGAACAAGCTGAGATTCAATTATTTGATTCCTCAGAGTTTTACCAGGATGCAGTTACTGATATAAACCCCCAAACTCCCTTTTCTTTAGCAACAGAAAATAATTCAGTAACGTTCTTTTCATTCCCCCAAGAACTTAATTCAGAAGATGACCTACAGTTTGCCTCAGTCACAACAAGTTTTCACGAGGATCACAATAATACAACCAGTCCGGAACTCAGTCAGGGAGCAGCAGCCTGTTCTGATCTGCCAGCACAAGTTGACCATGAAAGTGTTGCTGCTGCCCAGGAACAACCAAACAGCTTTCTGTTGATAGACCACCAGGGTGCATTGAAGGTGGGTGTTTTTTTTTTTTTTTTGTTATAAGTATCAGTTCAACATAATCCAGTGCTGTTTAACACTTTCTGTCCTAGAACATTTCTAGAACATTTCACAGCAGAAACACAATTAGAACAATGATGGGTTCATTATTGTATTAACTCTTTCAGGCCCAAGCATTTTGACAGACTTGGCTCACAATAATTTCCCTTTATAAAAATGGCAGAGAGGGCAATAAGGGCAAAACAGGGTATAATATATTTTTAATCCCTAATAAAGTATATATTGTTTGTAAAGTGGAATGAATTTACAGTTTGAATCTGATGAAGTGTGAATGTTTAATATAGTTATAGTTAGTATAAAAGATGAATTTAGCAAGTGTTAAGTTCACAAAGACAAAATTTTACCAAAGAATTCTTAACTTACCGTGCTTTTGCTGCCACAAAAGCAATGAATATCCAAATTTAAGAATATCACTTTAAAGTTTGTTAAATTTCCTAACAAATTCCAAAGTTATGATAAGTTTGTGGGTTAGTTTAGCACTCAGAGGCTCTGAGTTCTCACAGCGCTGAACAACATTTCAGAGAAAAAAATGGACCATTATACACACACTATTTACTATTTACTTTGTACAGTTGTATACAGACTGAAACTGCAATGATTTCAGTGTAGCTTAGCTATAGTATGGTAGTATATCTATTTGTTTAAAGGTGTAAAATCACGGTCCAAATTACTTTTAAAAAAAATCTAATTTTCATTATCATTATCAGATTTAAAAACATCTGACTAAAACCATTTCAGACCTTCAGTCGCAGAAATACGCATTTTGCGCATGTACTTTTGGTTGGAACTTTGAAAATGCACTGTCTGGAAAGGATGCTAGCAATGAATCAGATCAGTTTGCGACCACGCCTGGGCGAAAAAAGACTCATATACAAAGAAAAATTTTAGAGTTGCCCTTCCTGAAAACTTTAATGGTAGTTCCAAACATTAGAAACAAATATGGAGCCATAAATGAATCAATGTTTACGCCTGTGAATCTGAAGTTCATGGGTTCCTGTCCTAGCGGAACCAAGCTTTCTTAAAGAATGACCTTGGCTCCCAGGTTGACCCAGCCTTGAGTGGGTACCAGGAGCAGTCCTAGGAAGTAAAGGTAGCCGGCATGATGTTGACCACATCACCCACCAAGTACCAATTGGTCTATAAAATATAGGTCTAGCCCTATATGCCCAATACACCTGAAAGCGGGGAAATGGGTCCTTTATTTTACTGCATGCCCCAATTTCCCTAGTAGGCTGATACCAAGAGGAGCAGCTGGCCAAGCAGTTGAAACATTAGGCTGTCATGCGGGAGACCCTAGTTCAATCCCTGGTAAGGGGATGGAGTTTTTTTTCCTTCAGGAGCATAAATAAATGTCCTAACTTTCAGAGTCCTTGGCGACAGTACTAGTCATGAGGCCCTAAATGATCCCCAGGCTGACTCAGGGTTTTTGGCATTAAGCCATTCTACATTCACACCCTTTGATTGGCTAACAGTGATTGAAACAAGCTGACTTATAACATTTAACTTTTTACAAACACAGGTTGTGAGAAATCTCAGAACACCGCTATAATTGTTCTAGCACTATTGGGTTCTGTTTTTATGACATAGTTACTTCAGTACATGAAAACCGTTTCTGTTTGATCTGGCTGGCAGAGCGATTGTCAGGAATGGACCCTGTGTGGACAGGAGAGACATTTTTGATGCCATATGAGAGGCCAAACGCTGTGAGGCTTTCAGTTTCATGGAAAATGATTTTTCACTGAATAGACTGCATACCCTGGGAGCGACGAGACAGGAAACCACGAACAATGAGTGAACAATGAACAATGTGTTTTAGCATTGGTATCTACATGACCATTTGTGGGGCATCCATATGTTTTGTCTGTTTGAAATGCAGATGATGTGAAGTCAATTGTAACAGTACTGAAGAGCAAAAACAATACAGAACTAGCAGACATTAGAGCTGCACTCCATGAACTGAGTCAGACATCAACAAGAGTTGTAATAGTACCGTGGACTCCATCCTATTGCAGCATATCTGGAAATTAAGAGGCTGACAGATTGGCAAAGGAAGGTAAAAGACTACCCCATCCTGATATAGATATAACATATGATGAGGCCATGTGGTTTATGAAGAGTACCTATAGTGCCAAATAGGATTCTGAACATCCAGGCTGCAAGAAGGATGATGCATACTACCATCTAGACCAAAGATAACAATTATTCATCTTTAGACTCCACACAGCCATAATATGCTCAACACCACTTGTTCAGTTAGCTCAAGTTAGGAGGCACTTATGATTGTAACTTTGGAAGTGGTATAATGACAGCTAAATATTTGCTGCAAGGGTGTCCAACATATGCCGAACAGAGAAAATTATTCTGGCTGACACCTGCTCATTTTTAGGACAAACTCTGGGGAGATGTCAACAACCTCAAGTTGACTACTGATTTCTTTAAATATATTTACACTGATGTCTGAATGTAGAAGAAGAATAAAAAAAAAAGCGTCACGGATTCTTGAAACTGATAATCCCTAGAGATAAAGAGTTCATAAACAATGGCATGGGAAGAAATTGAATCAGACCCATTTGTCCATATGCCACGACACTTTATACCCCTAGGAATCTTGTGTGGGAAATGTCATGTGAAACGCGGAAGTCCACTGCACTAAAAGTCTAACATGCAAAAAGAAGCAAAGTACTTATTTGTGTAGGTAATCAAAATCCCAGGTCTGCAGACTAGCTTCCAAAGACATAGCCTTTGATGAATGAGATGTTCAGTTTATGGAAGTGAAGTTAAACAGTCATGAGCCTGATGAATGAGATGTTCAGTATATGGGAGTGAAGTTAAACAGTCATGAGCCTTTGATGATTGAGATGTTCAGTATATGGGAGTGAAGTTAAACAGTCATGAGCCTTTGATGAATGAGATGTTCAGTATATGGGAGTGAAGTTAGTTAAACAGTCATGAGCCTTTGATGAATGAGTGAGATATGTTCAGTATATGGGAGTGAAGTTAAACAGTCATGAGCCTTTGATGAATGAGATGTTCAGTATATGGGAGTGAAGTTAAACAGTCATGAGCCTTTGATGAATGAGATGTTCAGTATATGGGAGTGAAGTTAAACAGTCATGAGCCTTTGATGAATGAGATGTTCAGTATATGGGAGTGAAGTTAAACAGTCATGAGCCTTTGATGAATGAGATGTTCAGTATATGGAAGTGAAGTTAAACAGTCATGAGCAGGATGTGATGATTCCTTGAATGAGCCCAGTACCAGGTTACGAAAGTGGGACTAGTGCCGCGAATTGCCGCCCGCCCCTGATGATTCACTGGACAGACATCCTAATTTTAATTTCACACACCATTGAGGCCCTTCTTAGGGTATATATTTAGATGTGATCATTCAGACCTATCATTCGGAGGAAAGCCGACTTTTCTTAATGCAGACAAGTCTTGTCAGTGACACTTGTCATCGCCATGGGCTGTGAGTCTATGCCTGTTCATGGCACAGTATAACACTATTCTCTGGAAAGGTGACAACTAACTAACTATACCTCTCATAACACATGCATTTCTGTTTACACAGGTGATGACCAAGGATGACTTTATAGACAAGCTTGGCTGTGACAGAAATGATACATTCAAAGTAGTGTCCGTATTTGGCAGTTCTGCAAATAGAAAGCTCCACACCATAAATCACATGTTCTTCAGAGGTCTGGATGTGTTCAAAACCTCAACCTGCATCACAGGAGTCTGCTGTTCCGCAGATAAGCAGCACAAACTAATTGTCATGGACACAAAAGGTCTGTTGGATTCAGTAGCACAGAAGAACAACAACAAGCAGCTGTTGCTGAAAGTCCTTGCTGTGTCTGATGTTGTCATATATCATACAAGAGATGAACATTTACCTGGAGACATGGTTGGGTGCCTTCATGACATTTCCAAAGCCTACCTGCAGCATTTTCAGCAAGAGCTTCAGTCCGCATCAAAACAGTTTGGAATTTCAGAATCAGACATGGGACCATCATTAGTTGTGTTTCATGAGACTGCCAACACCGATGCCCTTGATAACACAGGTTAGTTTCCTTTTTTATTCTTGTATGCAGTTTTATATTCACTTAATCCAATCATCTAAACATTTTTAGTAAAATAAAATATTGCATTCTTTGAATACTTTAATTTCAAAATAAATTACAAAGGGGACTGTTCAGAAGAAGTTTTAACCTTGTAGCCCATGGAACACTAAAATAGTCAGTAGGAATTCCTGAAATAAAAATCCTTTAAAAAATAATCCTACAAATTAAGACAGGTCAATAATCCATTTAAACAAAATGTATTTGTCTACATTTGAAAACTTGAAAAAAAATTTTTTTTTTTAGATATATAAATGGAATGGTCAAAAAATAAACATGAACAAAGTGAAAATTGTTGTATAAAGAATTGACATTATAGCACTCGGGACACTCACATACATCCTCCGTCCTCCCTCTTCAGTAGCAAGCAAAGAGTTCCAATTCCTATGGCACTAGTAACAGATTATATATCCGTCTCGTTTTTCCCCTGAGTGTTGAGCGTCTGCCAGATCCCTTGGTAACTCCTGGCAGCGCCATTCTCCTCAGACTGTATTGAACAAAGTCAAGCATCTACAGGGCCTACAAAATATATATCAGTTCACTCAGGTGGTAATCCAAAAACACCTGTCTTGAAGCTCTGGAGAAAGTTTGATGTCAACATGGCTTCTAAAAAACCATTTGGTTCATAAGAAAAACCTTTAGTCAGGGTTGGTCAGCTAAGTTTACCCATGGGCCAGAATGTTTACAGTGGGGATTGCCATGGGCCAGAGGTTTAAGTTCCAGAACAGAAAGATCATTATTACAGTACAACTGGTAATAAACTGTGGACCACTTGCTAGGCCTCTGTGGGCCGGGTTCACCCTGCAGGTTACCAGTTGAATAGCTCTGCCCTAAGTGCTATTTTAGTAAATATATTCATATCCTGACCTCCTAACCTCCTAAACTCAACTTAGACACAAACACAACCAAAAGTGTTAACTGTACATCTTGTAAACACTCCACTGTACACAAGTGGTTAAGCGGCTTTTACTGGGAATTGTACCCAGCTGGACCGGTCAGTTTTACGGCGTCTCCTGGCAACAGGGTTAAAGAAATTGGCTCTAGCAGTACATAGGGGAAACAGCTGAGAGTAAACATTTTCAGAACGTTCCTCTCGCCTGTTGTAACAAACAGATATGCAAAATGGAGGAATGCCTTGGATTTCACAAGCATAAGAAAACAATCAGACAGTTGCACAGGTCTGAGAATACAGGGGGAGGAGAGGAGCGGGTCAAAGTGTCAGAGGAAACATGAAAGTGAGAGTGCAGGAATTTGCCAGTTGGAGCTGCGTAAGTAAAAATTCAGCAACTGATTCATGACAATTCCCACCCGAGGATGTTATTTTCTTTACAGATGACTCTGTTGTAAGTTCAAAGCGATATGAAATCGTTGACGTTTAGTGCAGTAAAGTCTAGCATATAATAACACAAGATCCCTGTGTGGGTTCCAGAGCCCTGTTATAGGATAAACAAGTACAGATCCACTGCCTACCCAGATGTGTGTTGTAAGAGTCAGCTAATTGGGAGCTCCCTTCAAAGTCAGTGTGCATCTGACCTGAGAGGCAAGGAACCAGCAGTCTGTATACAAACAAGTCAGATCTGTAAAACAGATGCACATGCAACACTGAGGATCTGGAACAGGACTACAGTACAGAAGTGGATGAACAACCAGAACTTTCAGCTGGAGTAAGCTGGTAAACTCAAGGAAGAAAAATATCACAAGGGATGGAAATTGTTTTTCTGTTGGTAAAAATACCCTGTTTAGTTCATGGTGACTGCACTAACCTTGTAGTCTTGAGTCATCAGACTTATGACCATCTCCTCCCCACAAACACACACATGCACGCACGCTTTTCCCCCCTCTCTCTCTCTCTCTCTCTCTCTCTCTCTCTCTCTGCCCTGAAAGTGGTAAAGACAGTTAAAAGATAACACAACATCTAGTTTGAGAATGGAGGTGCAGGCAGTCACTGCAGCTTTCGGCCGGCTTAAGAATCAGCTAAACACACATGCACTAATTAGAACATTCCCAGAACTTGCTGTGAAAAGTGGAGACAGGTATGCTTCACGCATAGTGGCAAGCATCGTTTCAGAGTTTGCTTTTAGTGAGTGTCCTTTTTTTTTCTACATTTTCGCCAGGGAATACTGGTGTGTTGGCAAATGAACAGGCAGACAAATATGTTGGTTCTGCACCACTTGGTAGGGACATGATGCATAGCACTATAGATGTGGTCAAGGACTTTTGGAGCATGTGAATATTGCTGAAAGACAGATGGAGAGAATAGTGCAGCGGAAAGTGACCAAGAGATGTAACCTACACTAACCACTCAGACTAAAGCCAATACAGAGATATAATCAGATTTCTTCTGACACCATTGGTATAAGAACTCTGTGCTGACTGCTGAAAATTGGGATGCAGTTATGGGAATATCCTGGGTGATTTGATTCAGTTTTTAACTTGATTCATCTCTGCTGGGAAGAAGTTGGTTGTGTTGGTGAATAGACAGATTTTATAGCCCCGCTGTAAACTTTCAAGCTGAAAAATCAAATAAAGAACATTACCATTATTAACATTATGACGGATTATTTAAACATAAATGATGATAATATTTGCTCGTGAAAACATTAAATAAACAGAAAAGCATTAGTTGTGAAAGAACTAGGCACAAGTGCAAGACTGAAACAACATTACATTTATCTAATTCTGTTTTCCCCATGTTGGTTCCTTGACTCCGTTTTGGGGAACTAAAAGAAAAGGTCCCCTGCTGCTTAAGAAGGATGTCATCAGGTTTGTTAAAGTCAGTTGTGTTAGACCAGTAGATGCAGATATCACAGCCTAGCTGTAAACCACTACAACATACCATTTTAAGGGCAAACTAAGAAGAAGAAGAAGAAAAAATAATGTTTCATAATAACGTAGAATTAGATAAATGAAAGTTGTTAACTTAATAGAACAATTAGATATAGTCAGTCAGTATTCTTTGGACATGTCTTTTAGAAAGAATGGTCTTGAGAACTTGGTAACAACTGAAAAGATTGATGGAAAGAGAGCACAGGGAAGGCAAAAAGATAAATATCTGAATGGCTTGGCCATGTGGATGGGGCAAGAAAAAACCATTGACCTCATCCATGATTCTGGTGATGATACGAAACAACAGCCTATGCTTACCTGCATGTATGTCTAGCCTCAAAGCAAGGACCTATTTTCTTGTGTCATACTCAATGCAGTATCAGCTCAACCAGGTGTCTTGTGCTCTTGTTAGGTGTACTCACTGAAGGAACTCTAAGAGAGATGATCAAACCCAACTGTCCATTGGAGGCTTTTTCTAAAATATGTTACGTTGGCACGAAGACAATTACATCGCCAGAAGAGTTGGGTCAGCTGGAGCATTCAGTCATTGCTGAGACTGAAGATATGTCTGTCAGGGCTTCCCGTAGACCAGAAGTCATCTTCCGTTCACTGAAGGTATTTTTTTTTTTTACTTTTCTCATTTATATATATAATCACCGTTACATATTTATATTTACTATAATTCTTAATTTAGACATGATGTTGACAGCATCATCCACTAGGTGCCAACAGATCCATACAAATATGAGTGCACATCATTTGTCAGAAACACCATTGATGTAGAAAAGGATCCTTGTCTTTACTTTTTAATTCATGGTCATTGCTGCTGGGAGTGAGTTTTTTTCTTTCTTTTTCAGCTGTCAGATTAACATTTCTTACTGTGGAGTCGTACACCTATTTAGGCAGTAATGTAGATAAAGATGGAGGAACTGATAGAGATATTAAAATAAGAATACAAAAGGCAAGAGGATCTTTCATAGCACTAGGGAATTTGTGGAGGTCAACAGAAATTAAAAGAAAAACTAAACTAACTGTCACAGACCTCTGGGTGACCTTGCTGGTCCGTGGCTCGTAACTGGGCCTTTGACAGACAGACTAACCTTTAACACACACTGAACCCGAACGCACACAGAGCACACACGACAATCTTTATTGTAAGTACAGGTAAGACAATAGACAGTTGACTTCCCGCTGTGTGGCCACCTATTGCCTGGACCCTCTGGCCGAACGAGCTTTACAGTCGCCTCGCTCCCAGTACGTCCACAAGCAATCTCCTGGTGTACAAACCACAGCACAGCGAGATACGCTCTTACCTATTGGCACACTGACCAACCAAACTGTCACAGCCTCTGTCTAGCACAGGGTCAGAGTGCCAAGGTTAGACATTCTCTCACAGAACATGTACATAAATACTCTACACAATAACTATCCTATTCTAACAGAACACTGTACATAAACTATCCAGTCACTAACAGAAATATCCTCACTCTAATCCTGTCACTGTCTTGCTAAACGTCCTCTCTCCCTGACCGACGCACACTGAATGTCCTGTTCTCTCTACCTCGTGTCTCTTGACCCCGTTCACCAGCTCAGTCCCAAAAGCGGTAATCGTGTTGCGGATTTGTCCACAACACAGTTCACTCTTTATCCTGAGCGCTGGTTTCGCTGTGCGATCACAGAACGGACTTGACCAGTCACGGCCCTGACCTTTGTGTCAACCCTCCAAGATCTGCTTGAAAGAGATGTTGCACTGTGCGAAAAACTTAGGCCAGAACCATGGACAAGCAAGCCAGAGAAAGCAAATGTAGTCCTAAAGGTACCAGGAATCACTTCAAAAGATGCCCAGACGGAGACACAACAGAGAACCCTGGCTCTTGCTATGCTTGATGAGAAGTATCCAAACACCACTTGGACTCAGGTTTTCACCGACGGCTCTGCTACAGATGCAGTCAGAAAGGGGGGTTGTGGAATTTACATTAAACCCCCTAGCAGTAGAGCAGAAACTCTCTCTCTACCAGCAGGTGACATCTGCACTAACTTCAGAGCTGAGGCAACTGCCCTCCTCTCTGCAGTCCAACATCTCATCACTCAAGAACACAGAGGGCACCAAATTGTTATACTTAGCGACTCATTGTCTGTTCTCCAAGCACTATCCAGCAAAAAACAAGACAAAATAATTGCTGATCTAAGGACCAACATTGGCTTACTCTCCAAGGAAGCAGAACTGGTCTTGCAGTGGATACCAGCCCACTGTGGTATTCAAGGAAATGAGAGAGCAGATGAGTTGGCAAAAGCTGGGAGTAATCTTCCACAACCTCATCCACCACACAGCTACAAGGAAACCAAAACAGCGCTAAAGCAGTCTTTCAAGCGGGAGTGGAGAAGGCAGAATGGAGATTACAGACCAGAGAGTGACAGCATAAACAAACTCAACAGGAAAGAACAAACATCAATTCTTAGACTTCGGACTGGACACTGTGGTCTTCGAGCACACTTGTACAGGATAGGCATAAAAGAATCTGCTGCCTGTGATTGTGGAGCAGAAAGACAAACCCCTGAACACATACTGCAGTACTGCCCTTACCTCTCCCAGCAAAGACTGTGGATCTGGCCCAAAGGAGCCACATTGCAAGAGAAGCTATGGGGGACCGGTGGCGACCTTAAAGCGCACAATCCTATTTGTGACCCAGACGGGACTCAATGTTTAGCATGACTGATATCGAACGCAGAAGAAGAAATGTGTCAACCCTGGGGTGTCACCTTAACACGCACACCTTACGGTGTGGTACATTCCGCCACTGACTGTACTCACAGGGTTGTGACACTAACAATTTTTAATTCTAATGTCAAATCAGTACTATTGTATGGGGCGGAAACATGGAGAACAACCAAGGCAATTACTAATAAATTACAGACATTCATTAACTGGTGCCTGCGCATAATAGAGGGAATTGAATGGTATGATAGAATAACTAATGTAGAACTTTGGGAGAGAACTAAACAGTCTCCATTGGACCAAGAGGTGAGGAAAAGATGCTGGCGTTGGGTAGGACACACACTGAGAAAACAGGAGAACAGCATAACTAGAATGTCTTTGCATTGGAACCCACTGGGGCATAGGAATAAAGGAAGGCCAAAAAACACATGGAGAAGAAAGCTGGACAATGAAGTCAGAAAGATGGGGAGGACATGGAGAGAGCTCCATGCAATGGCAAAGGATAGAACGACTTGGCGTGAGTTGGTTGAGGGCCTACGCTCCATTGGGGGATAGAAAGGCAGAAGAAGAAGACTGTGAAAGTCTTCATATAATATAATAGCCTTTGTTTTTCTTTAAATTGACCTCTAATAGATTCAGACTGACTTTATTTTTCAGGGTGACTTTATTAGCAGGAATCATAAAGGAAGCAAAGAATATGAATACTGTGATCTACAATACATGTTGTAAGTGACCTTAAAGGAGAGATAGTTATGTCGAAGTTCTAACATTACTGTTCTGTTCCTGAGCCAGTGAAAGTCACGCAAAATGGGCACATGATATAAGTGACACCTTGGATATGAAAATTCACAACACAGGAGAGCTGGGAAGAGACCAAGTTTTTTCAGGCAGACTGTGATGAGAGTGACGTTCTTCAAAGAACCTGTACCATAATAATGAAGTTGTATGCTTGTCTTCGCACCATCTGCAGATAAAAGATACAAGAATAAGAGGGAGAGGACAGTGGCAAAGAGGACAAACATGATCTTCTCCTTTGCATTCACGAGCGTAAACTCCGGCAGGATGCTCTGGTTGTTTGTCCACTTCTGGACTTTAGTCTTGATCCAAAACCTGAGTTTTGTAGATGTGAAAGGTGATGAAGACACCAAAGAAGACACTGAAGAAGGCAATGACTGAGGTGAAGTTATATTTCAATTATGAGAGATTGAAACCACATTTAACTGGTGATGTGAAGTGTTAAATTATTGTTTTTACAGGCCCTAGATGAAAAGTTCAGTCAGAAGATGGAGACTTTACATCCGGACATATTTACTGACCACCATTTTTCCTGCAGGAGCAGATGTCTTGCATGCAAGTAGGTGGCACTATGTATTGTAGATAGCCCCTCTGCCGTGTGCTAGTACATTTGGTATAGTTGTGTAGTATATTATAATAGTATCAATAAAAAATGCTAACAGCAAATAATGTAGAGGGAGAAACAATAACAGAATTCATAATCTACTGAAATCATCACTTTCTGCTAGCAGCATAAAGGCTGATGGAGTACAGTGGTTAGGGTATTTAGAGAGAATAGCAGATAACAGAGAGACAAAAACTGCATACCCGAAAGAGTTAAATAGGAGGAGACCAGAGAATGGAAAGAGATAAAAAAAAAAAAAAAGTAAAGATCCCTTTACACGCACTAGGCGCATCTGGCATATGGGAAGAGCACCCATATTTTTACAGACCAATCGGCCCTCGGTGGGTAATGTGGTCAGCATTACGCCGGCCGTCTTTACTTCCCCAGGACAGCCCATCCTGGTACCCATTTGAGGCTGGGTCGACCTGAGACGTCCCATTCCACGATAAAAATCCACGCAGCACACGCAGGTTTCGATCGCGGAACGTTGGATTACGAGTCAGACTTGCAACGCCTTAGCCACGAACGCCGCAAGAGATATAAACAGGCATATCTACTAACACTTGGAGCCACCAAATGGAAAGAGAAGGTCAGTCAGAGAGTTGAATGAGGCAGGTGATATCTACAGCAATGAAACTCAAAGGCTCAGTATGCTGAATAATAATAATAATAAGAAAAAGACGAAGAAGACGAAGACAGTATAAGAGTAGGACATATAGTAACATAGTGGTTAATATACTTGGTTACCACGACAGGAGTCAAGGTCCAGTCTGCTACAGTAATAGAGATATTTGTGTATATGTGTGTGTGCGTGCGTGCTAGAGAGAGAGAGAGAGAGAGACACCAGTTAAATGCTTAGAACACTGAGGGCAAAAAAATAATATGCCATAATACACAATTTGAGCATCAAGGAGAACTGGCTCATAAACAGCATCCTGTCCCAAAAGTTGAAGTATTCTGGCCGTCTTAAACGTCATGGTGGCCAGGAGAGAGTGGTGATGTTCTGGCGGTCTTAAACATCATGGTGGCCAGGAGAGAGTGGTGATGTTCTGGCGGTCTTAAACGTCATGGTGGCCAGGAGAGAGTGGTGATGAAGTCAGAGACAGACCTCTGCAAATGTGGATCCAGGACATCGAAGATGCATCGGCTATGAAAGCACATTGGGCTAGAGAACTGGCTAGAGTACAAGAAACTTTAATTGTGCCGTAACGAGAGCGACGTTCTGTAAATGACAGGCTGATTGATGATGATGTGACCAGTTTAGTTGTTGGAATCACTCCACTCTTGAAATTAGTACCAGATATTGTTCTAGTTTTATATAATCTTGCTAACAGCATGGGGAGAAGCTGGTGTCTTGCCATGGGGGGTTGGTATGATGCATTTAAAGGGATGTACCTTGACCTCCCAGAGCCGCTGGCTGTAGCAACTAAATGCTTATCTGAAGTTCATGAGTTCAAATCTGAATGGAGCCAGGCTTTAAACAAAAATATCCTTAACTTTCAGGTCAACCTAACTTAAATGGGTAGCAGGTATAATCGTGGGAAATAAAGGTGGCAGGCGTGATGTTGACCATAAGCGCTCCGTCCCCATCTTCAGCAGCCAGCGAAGAGTTCCGATACTAATGGTGCCAGTAGCTTTCTGATTAAACGTCTGTCTTGCCTTTCCCCTGAGCCTTGAGCTTCTGCCGGAACCTCTTGTCACCCCCAACTGCATCAATCTCACCAGACTGTGGTGATCCATCTGCTCCTCCGCATTGTACACGCTCTCCCACAAGGCACTAACCACGTCTGCCCTATCATGTAGCAGTATTCCACCAAGTTGTGCAGAGCCAGCCAGTCTGTACGCCTGTTCATTTCCCAACACACCGGCGTGACCCGGTGAAAAAATTCAGACAATACTCCTCACTCGTGTCCTCCGCAGGGAAGCATGCCACTCTGCACGAAGCATACCTGTTCTGATCTTCCTCAGCATGCTTTCAAAATCAGTTACAATTACAATGTGTGTGTGTGTCATGTTCTCTAGCCAGCGGAAAGCTGCAGTGACCGCCTCCACCTCCATTCTTAAGCTGGATGTTGTGGTATCATATGCTAGGCTCTCCTGCACCAAACGTCGACCATTAACTTTTGCTAAGAAACCCCAAGCACTTCGTTTGCCTCTTGACACTGAATCGTCTGTGTAAATGATCAAATCCTCTGAGCGAGCATTATCTTGAATTAATGGCTGAATTTCCACCTCTGTGGCACCTGCTGGCCAGTCTCTGCATTCCCGGCTCAGCGTGATTATGACTCTATGCAAGTCTGACTGCTCAGGTGGCACTTTGACCCACTCCTCTTCTCGCCTAATGTTCTCAAGGATGCAAACCTGACTGATTGTGTCTTCTGCCTGAGCCATCCATGACCTCCCTCTTATCAGCCGCTGACCCTTAACTGCACCCAGAGCTTCATGCAGAGGGTAGTCTGTGTCTGCAGCTACCCTGAGATATGACTTCGCCTGCATCACCTTGTACCTACCTGCAACCGTCGGCAAACCAAGGATGTATCGCATACACACCACTGGGGTGTCTCTGGTGCAACCCAGAATGACCCGCATAGCCGCGTTCTGTTCTGTATGCGCTCTAGTTTGTCCATCTGACTCTTTGAGGCGGTAAGCAGTCCCAGGCCATAATCCACCACTGACAGGATCAGGTGCTGATATAGTTTGAAAAGCATTCTCTGCTCTATGTCAATTGCAGCCATAGTCTTAAGTGCACTAAATCCATTTTGGCATCTCGTCACAACACTCTCCACATGGTTCTTAAATGACAGGCTCCTTTAACTTTTTACCTTTACCTTGAGTACAAAAACAGAGCACCATGAAATAAGTCTAATTGTGTGGAAGGCACCTTGAGAAAAAAAAAATGAGCTGCATGAGATGGCAGATAGTGGGTGCGCTGGACAAATTCCATTGAATCAAGAGATGAAGAAAAATTATGGTATTGGATAGGGTACTCATTGAGAACACCTGAAAACAGTATAACTAGAAAGGCTTTAAACTGGAACCCTCTTGGGCATAGAAATAAAGGACGAGTTGACATGAGTTGATGAGGTCTGTGCTCTATCGGGGAAGCAAGGGCAGAAGAAGGAGTGCTTGGCATGAGGTAGTTGAGGTTTTGGCTCTGTTGGGGGATAAAAGTTAACAGAAAAAAAAGAAGGAAGAAGAATAGATGGAGGAGGTGGTGGTGGTGATGTTAGTATTGTAAGTATTAACAGGAGCAGTAGTAAAGCAGGTCAGTCTTGTTTCAGAGCTGGCTGTATCCTGAGTGTGAACCATCATTCTAGCACAGAGTCACATGATGCAGGCAGAGACAGACAGTGTGAATACCAGAGTGGATATGGAAACAAGGTGTTCTTGTGCAAGGTAGGTTGTCACAGCAGTTTCATGTTTGTACACACATTCAAGTAGCAGGATATCCTTGTCTGCTTATGAGTATATGTCTGTAGTGTCTAATTCACCAGTACCTATACATGTCTCTCCAGTGTCTGCATCTTCATTATCTGTGTTGAATGATGAATTAAGAATCAACATCACAGAACTCAGGTCATTCCTTTCTTCAGCAACATGTGCATAGTTCCTGTTCGGATGGCACCAGTAACTGATTGTATATTCATCTTGTCTTTCCCTTGAGTGCTGAGACCAGCCAAATCTTTTGGCATTCTTCTTCTTCTTCTTCTTCTTCACTTCCTCTTTTACCGCTGTGGGTGTCGAGGGAGATATAAGGTTCTGTTTCTAGCTCTTCTGGCCGCCTCGACCATAGGCACATCGTGCTGTTGTAGAGTTTCTCTGATGTTATCCTTCCATCTTGATCTTGGTCTACCTCGTGCTCTACGTCCTTCTTCTCTTTCCATGTATGCTTTGTATGGTATGGTGTCACAAGGCATTCTCTCTAAGTGGGCAAACCATTTCACTTGCTGTCTTTGTATGTAATCCAGAATTGGTTCTGTGCCGACTTGTTCTCTTATGATCTCATTCCTGATCTTATCTCTTATGGTCACTCCTACAGCCCTTCTCAGACATCTCATTTCCGTGGTTACTAATTTTCTTTTATGGTTTGTTGTGAGTGACCATGTCTGGCACTGGTTTGTTGGAATAAATATGCTTTGAATAAGATGTCTCTTTGTGAGATGTCTCCTGGCATTACCTGTGTAAATGTCTTTAGTGTCTGTGGCTCCAGTAACTGTGAATGGACGCAAATTTGTATTACCAATACCTTTGTAAGTATTTCGGGAGTCGTTGTGGCATTGGCGGTTAAACGCCCGCCTCCGGATCGGAAGGTCGTGGGTTCGTGTTCTGATGGAGCCAGACTTTTGTCAAAAATGACCTTGAATCCCAAGTCGACCCAGTCTTGAGTGGGTACCAGGAGCAGCCGTGGGAAGTAAAGGTGGCAGGCATGTTGCTGACCACATCATCCACTAAGTGCCGATTGGTCTATAAAGATACAGGCCTAGCCCTATATGCCCAATTCGCCTAAAGGTGTGGAAAAGGGTCCTGTAATTGTTACTGGGATACAGTGTGCAGCAAACAGCAGAGTCAAGATCATTTTGAACTTTTTCACGTCTGCCTTTAGCCTCCTATTTTAGTTTTCTGAACAGATGACTACTCAGATTAATTGACCTTCACCTTGAGTGATAACTGTCCATCAAATTTGTGTCTGTTTTTTGTTTGTTTACCCCTGTGTATCCTTTCAATGTCATCATGTTATAATTAGCAATGGGTGTCACAAAGTACTTTTGTTTTTCTTCAGATGTGTATGCGAAAAAATAAACGAGTTGTGGTTGTGCCGAAGACATCATCATCAAGTGACACAGCATGGATGGGTCTAACAAAGTATATATGGTCAGGGTAGGTATTTATTTAGTGGCAAAGGCATCCCTCAGTAAAAACTCTTCTGTTTGTGTGTATCTGCATGTGCACAAATGCATGTATGTGTTTGTGTGGCAACATCAAAAGGACAGAAGAAGGAAAGGCTAAATGTTACTAACTGTCCAATTACCTGTCTCTCCACCCATCTATATGTCCATCTGTTATTCAACCATTTGTAAGTCTGGTCTCATCAGCAAATTTTAGTCCTGTTCCTGGCTTTGCTGTCCCAAATAGCTGCTTGTGGTGCATTCCACTGTCGGCATCTCCAAGCTGGTGCAAAGAGTAGTTGGGCAACATTAACAAGAATGTAACTGTAGATCACATCAATAGTTGCTGTGTGAGCGGGCGAAAATGCTTACAGCAGTCTGTATGCACAACAAAATTACCTCATTTGGACAAATGAAAAGAGAAAGAAGAAGATTCAGTTGTTTTTTCAGTTCGTGAATCAGATTATTTGTTGGTATCTGTCTGTATTATCTGTCAGTATAATCTGTCTGTATTATCTGTCAGTATAATCTGTCTGTATTATCTGTCTGTATTATCTGTCTGTATAATCTGTCTGTATTATCTGTCTGTATTATCTCTCTGCATTATCTGTCTATATATAAAAGTACTGAATTACTATCTTTCTACACAAATACACTTGCATAAATTTATATTTGTGGTAGCATCAATTTATAATTTTACTATTTCCTGTATTAACTTTGAAGATTTATGGTCTGCTGCTTCTTCTTCTTCTTCTTCTTCTTCTTCTTCTTCTTCTTCTTCTTCTTCTTCTTCTTCTTCTTCTTCTTCTTCTTCTTCTTCTTCTTCTTCTTCTTCTTCTTATTCTTCTTCTTATTCTTATTCTTCATTCTTATTCTTCTTCTGTTTCTTCATGTTCACCATCTGAAACCGGGCATTTTCCGGGGTTCACCCAGCCTCCGAGTAATGGGTACCAACCAGAGTTAACACTCTGTGGTAAATGGAGGAACGTCACTGTAACTACGGAGTTACGCGCCGACGGTGACACAGGTGGACAGTTTCTTATCAGCTGTCCGTACAGGGGGCAGAGCACTTATGGTTTATAACCGTGCGCACTGACCCTGGTTCACATCTCAACTTGACCTAGTCTTGTTCCAAAACTTGAGTTAAATGTGCCCATCCATTTTACAGTTGTGACTTGTTTTGATGCAGACTGTTGGTTCCTTGCTTCTCTGACTTTGAAGGAAACACCTTACTCTTATGACATGCTTGTGAGGGGGGCAGTGGGTCTACTCTTGATTCCCCCCCCCCCCCACCACCACCACACACACACGCGCCCACGCCCTTGCACCCCCCCCCCCCCCCAGGAATTCACACAGGGGACTTGTGGTTTTTACCTAGCTTATTTAGCTTAATCTTTTTGATAGCATATGACATGCACATACATATACATACACACACAAATATATTTATACTCACTGTGACATTCGCCAGGTATGTGTATGAATGTGAGAACTGTGGGGTCATACACAGAAGTCGAGAACACTGGTATGGCAACGAGGATGAAGAGAAAGTCTTGCAAGTGGAATGCAGACATATATGGCCACAGGTAAAACTGGTCTGTCTTGCAAGTGGAATGCAGACATCATGTATGTCAGTGTTTTTAGATGATTGAATCACTGTCCTATTTTTTTGTACTAGTGAACAGGTTTCGCCACAACAATAATCCTGCCACTTTCCTGTGATGGTTCGGGGGGGGGGGGGGGGGGGGGGGGGATAAAAAGAATTGTCCCACTGCCTCCCTTACAAGTGTGTCATAAGAGTCGACTAATAATGAGTTTCCTTCAGTCGGAGTGCATCTGCCTGAGAGGCAAGGAACCAACAATCTGCATACAAATAAGCCAGATCTGTAAAATGGATATGCACACACAGCTCAAGTTCTGGAACAGGACTAAAGTCCAGAAGTGGACGAGCAACCAGAACTTTCAGCCGGAGTTTTTAGTCAATGAAGGCGAAGAAGAAGTGATTGTATTCTTGTAAAGCTGTCCAGTTGTGCATTCCGTTGCTGATTTACTCACTTTTGTGGCTTGATAATAATGGAAATACTAGCACACAAACTCTCATGATTCAGAGTTGCAGCTCATACTGACAAGGACCTCCATCCATCTCTTTTAGAGATATTGTCATCAGTTTGACCAACAGAGAGAGAATCACTTATGCTCTCACTTGTGATTGAGCTTGCCAAAGACTGCGCACTTTGCACAGTGTGATTGTGAAAGACTCAAAGTTATTTCTCACATAGCTGGCGGACATGACTGGCTGAATAACATGAATATACTGAGAATTGATGGCTTGCATTCTGGTATGGAATCAAGAGTCTATAATCTAAATTTGTTGCCTTCCTCTATCTATTTTTTCCTTTTCACTTTTTACAATGTTTTAATGTTTCTCTTTCTACATATGGTAAAATTATTGTTTTAAAATATCTTTGTTGCTTTTTTTATCCTAGATTTTTTTTTTTTAACTTTCATTAATGTCAGGTAACAAATAAACTTAAAAATTTCTTGCAGTAAAAAACAAAAATTACTGAAGCTACAACTTGGAAATCTTAAACCTGAAGCAAAAAAAACTAATTCAGTGGCCACTGGAACAATTTCTGTTAACTACACAAAATAGATACAAGCTTTGAGATTTGCAGCAGAAATACTGTTGACAGAGAATAAACACAGGTATCTTGACAGGCCAAAGAGCATTCAACTGGTGATGTGATCAGCTTTACACCAGGTGACTTTATCTCACCGAACATTTCCTGGCTCCCAGTTTAGGCCAGGTTGACCTGGGAGGCCAAGTCAGTTTTAAGTGTTTTAATCTCAAGCATTTGTCACTAAACTCCTTCTACTCAAAAGTGTTTAGCTTAAAATTAGTAAATAATTTTGCCCTCACGAGTTCAACATAGACACCATGAGACATAAGAGGGGAAACTAGTAATGTAGTCAATAAAGATTGATATAATATTCATCTGTGACAGAAGGTTAGTTGCGTATCCTTTACAGGACGTTGCAGAACCAACCCCATCAGCCCCTGGCTGTTGTGTGTGTGGTTTCACTAGGCAAAATTACATCCAGTAGTTTGCCATTGCTTTCTAGACGTTGACTCCCTGATACCACTGTCGAAACCAACCTGTGACAGAAGACAGCTGGTAAATTATATCATCTGCGAAGGTCGTGGGTTCATGTCACGGTGGCTCCATCCAGTTCACAAGTGCATTTTTTTAAGGAGATCCCTGGGGATTGTCATGGAGCTAAGGAAGTTGTGCTATGTGCAATGCTGTCGGCAGGCAGCTAGCTGTTCTGTGGAAAGAGACTGAGCCATCTGGGGTAAAACCTCGTGCAGTATAGTTGATCCTCTCACCTTTATCTTTTTTTACCTTTAACCCTTTATCTTTGAATTTGTCCAGAAACGCAATGTGACTTACCTGGGACTGAAAAAGTTCATATCCATATTGATGTAGATTTGAACCTGTGACCATGCACTTTGGTTTTTTGGGATAGAAATGATAAAGACAACATTTATGCAGGTTCATACAACATAAACTTGAATAATAAACTTACATCTATTAGGGACCTATTGCTTTTGATGGAACACACAACGCAGCCCGGAAAGTCCTAGAAGGGTTCCACTATGTGGCAGACACAGTCAGCAGTGTCGGAGCTGGTCCTGCTAAATACTTGGCAGAGTGGACGGCAGATAAAATCAACCCGTCTTATTGGATGCCAAATTCTGAGATCATTGTGAGTGTTGTCATTCATTCTTATTATTTATAATTTATTGTTAGAGCCAGCACTGTATACTTGTTGAGATAGTTCCCTTGGGGCTTCCTGTGGCTCCATTTTGAAAAACAAAGAATAGACCCATTGCCTCCCCAAAGGCGACTAATTAGGTGTGTTTCCTTCACAGTGAGTGCATCAGCCCGAGAGGCAAGGAACCAGCAGTAAGCATACAAATAGGTCAGATCTATAAAACAGATATGCACACAAAACTAAGATTTTGGATCAGAGCCAAAGTCTGTGAGGGAAGGAACAACTAGAACTTTCTGCCAGAGTTTATATCAAATGAACACTAAAAGAATAAGAAGAGTTGACACTGTTAACATTGAACATTAGATGAAAAATAGAACCTACCTACAAATAAAATTTATTGCATATGGGTTTCTGGTACAGACATTTAGATCCTTGCCTAATGTCACCTACACAGGAGGTTGAAGCTTTAACCGATGATTTTACTGTCACAAAGATGGTCCTTGAATCTGGTCAATAGAGAGTGGGTCAGTCAGTCAGTCTGTCAAACAGCCAGTCAGTTAACAAGTTAATACATTAATAAATCAAGAATGGACTATATCAGTAAGCACTCCATGAATGGCTCGCCTAACCTTCATTTTTATGCTAGGGTGTTCGAGACAATAAGCGTGCAGATTATCTTGAAGACACTGGTTATGGCTGACTGGTGCTGGACGGAAGTGATCTTATCACTGCCATGTACAGCACTTACCACCAAAACAAATACAGCAAACAGCATGTCTCCGTATCTCTGTCTAGGCTGATAGATATGAGGGTGCAACTTGGAGTTGCAAGAAATGAACATTTCGCCAAGGGGACAAGACTTTTGTTTAATCAACACAGAACAGACATCAGTCATTTTATGTTTGTGAAGTTATTTAGAAGGATATTGGAGCACTGGTCTCATGTGATGATAGTATCCACTAATCACTAATAAATAAATAAACCGTTCTTTTCATGAATCTGTCTTGCCAGTATTTTTGAGTAGCCAGCCTAAAAATTAGTTGTATTGGCCAGATTTTTAAAAATTGCATACTAAATGCTAGTGTCCTTAACTTACAATTCCAGAAATGCTCCAAGTGTCAGATGTTTTTTGACAGCACCGAGCAGAAGCACCACTGCCGAGCATGTGGCAAGGGCTTCTGTGCCGACTGCTCCTCCAAGAAACGTCCAGTACCAGAAAGAGGCTGGGGCTCTGAGCCCGTCCGTGTTTGTGATGCATGTTATGCAAATCCTGATACAGGTACAGATGTAGAATCCGTTTCAGAGACAGGTGACCTTGACATTACATTTGTGTGTTTGAAGGCTGTATATCATGTTCTTGTCAGAGAATTTATTTTTGTGAGTTAGTTGCTTTTTAGTTTTCAGTTAAATTTATTAAAATCCAGTTCCAAAGCAAGAGGCTTCTCAGACCATCAGGCCAGGAAGTCATGTAAAATCACTTGTGATTTTAGACACATTTGCAGATTGTACTATTTATATCAGCTATTATATTTTACGAGGAGTGGCTGGCTGATTGGTTAGAGTGTCTGACTCTAGGACACCTGGTATTCGACCCCTGGTAAGGTGTCACAGAGCTACTTATTGTCTCAAAGGCATGGGCTTGTTGGCAGCTCTACGACAGACAGCTCCATGACAGTGGTTTCTATCTTAAACGTAACTAACTCAACACCATCAGAGCATACATGTAAGCCTTTAATGTAATTTACAGCAAGTGATTGGAAGTTCACTCCAGAGGTGGCTCGCATTATAAAGCCTACCCAACCGACTGGAGTGCTTTAAAATCGCCACTCACACACTGCGGTGTCCGTGGCTTAGGCGTTGCGAGTCCGACTCGTAATTCCAATGTACCGTGATCAAAACCAACTGCCGGCTGTGGGGATTTTTGTCATGGTATGGGGTGTCACACCCTTAAATAGGTACCAGGATGGCTGTCCTGGGGAAGTAAAGACGGCCAGCGTAATGCAGACCACATTACCCACCTAGAGCTGATTGGTCTGTAAAAATATGGGTGCTCTTCCCATATGTCCGATGTGCCTAAAGGCATAAAAAGGGATTTTTACTTTTACTTTTACTTTATTTACTTTACTCACACACTGGCCTTACAGTTGTTTTCAGGCCCTAAAGGGTCGAACAAACAGCCTTTGATCCAGGCTCTTTCCTATGCCTCTGCACCCTACACTGTGACTGCTGTGCTACTGCACAGCTCTAGATAGTGTGATTAGACAGACCACGTCAATGCACTAAGTCACCTGGGTACCACCCCCGTGACATAATCTTCTTCTTCTTATTCACGATTAAAAAACCCAACTTGCTAAGACACAGCTAAGTTATCATCATCATCATCATCATCATCGTCATCATAAACCACTTCTGCCGTTAAGGGTCGTGGGGAGGAATAATTTGCGATCCAGTGCACGTTTGCTGCCACTGGCTATTGTCATGCCGTGAAGGCATAGAGTGTCTTTAATGTTGTGGATCCATGTTTTTCGCGGCCGTCCTCTTGCTCTTGTAGCTGATCTTCTGAGATGTAGTGCTTGTGATGGTCACAGCTAAGTACCTGAGTGAAAACAGCTTTCACTAAACACACTGGACTATCTCTACATAATGCAGACGTTACGCTGCCACTAACACTTCAATTATGATACCATTAGCTAACATGTTATTACAGACTAAACGTTCTATCCTTAACCATCGCTGGGCTGCTAATTTAACTCAGTTTATAAAAACCTAGCCGTCAGAACACAACACGTCTTATCCTTGTCCTTGTCTCTGCACAGCTCTCCCGAAACCATTCACTCTGTCCATTGTTGTCCAGTCAGCCACTCACCGCGGGTCCAATGGGTCTCTCGTGGATCCTGGAGTCTTTATTCATCCGTCACATAGTCCTTGTCAGAGTCTCCTTGGGCTGTTGAACACGTAGTCGCTATGCGGTCGTCTAAGTGCTAGTCTGTCAATCACTATCGTCACCTACAGTCGTTCCATAGCCACACAGTACCCCAGACATAAAGTGATGGACATTTTTCTATCGGGAGCAAAAAATCAACATTATAACCTGCACACTAGCAGTAGCCATGTGGCCCTGCATCCCCTGTCTGCACCGCACTAAAAAGCAGTAAATACGGACCGTAGTGACAGTAGGTCATTATATTTTACATTGGTGCTGATAGGCAACAAAACACAAAATTCACTTACTTGTGCTTTCAGGTTGCCCAGTGCCAAGAAATGTTGGGGTGCACCCCTTGTATATCTGTCAGTACCCCTGCCCCACTTTAAAAGAAAAATTGTGATTTTAAAAAAAAAGACAAAAAGATATAAACAAGAACTTGGAGAAAAACACCTATAGAAGTCAAATCACCAGCAACTGGTAATTAAGTGTCCAAATATCAGGCTGATGGTCGAGACTATTCTGTCTTAATATCTGCTTTTTTAAGTCTGATGTTGAACAAGACACATCGCTGATCACTCTCCACATCAAGCTAGCACTACTGTTTTGTTTTACGTACAAGTGCACTCAGTTTAAAAAGTGTTTGATGTTCTTTATGAAACTTCCTTGCACCCCACCAAGGGGGCACTCCACCAAGGGGCACTCCACCAAGGGGGCACTCCACCAAGGGCGCACACTCCACCAAGGGGGCACTCCACCAAGGGGGCACTCCACCAAGGGGGCACTCCACCAAGGGGGCACGCCACCAAGGGGGCACTCCAACAAGGGGGCACTCCACCAAGGGGGCACTCCACCAAGGGGGCACTCCTCCAAGGGGGCACTCCACCAAGGAAAACTCCACCAAGGGGGCACTCCTCCAAGGGGGCACTCCACCAAGGGGGCACACCACCAAGGGGCACTCCACCAAGGGGGCACTCCACCAAGGGGGCATGCCACCATGGGGGCACTCCACCAAGGGGAACTCCACCAAGGGGGCACACCACCTAGTTAAAAAGCCACTGTTGTAGAGTAAAAATTACCAATGCTGCATTCATGGACTATAAAATATTCACCAGATAAGTTAACTGTGATGTGTTCTCTCAGTGCTGATTTGTAGCAGTTAGTTCAGCTATCAGCTGTCAGTGCCAAACGTGGACACTTACATCCTCCAATAAACGTAAAATTGTGACAACAGAGATGAAATGCCTTAAAAGAGCTGCAGGAGTTTCAAGGAAAGACAGAATACGAAATCAGACGAATGCTTGGAATAAAGCCAGTCTTGCAAGTCATCAAAGAGCAACAAATGAAGTGGTTTGGACACCTGACAAGAATGCCCTGGTACTATCTGCCACAGGGTATAGAACGAGTGGAAGACCTTGGAAAATATGGAATGATGGCATTAAGAACAGCCTTGCAGAAATGAACATGTTTTAATAGTGCTTTTGACAGAGCTCACCAACGAATGTTACACTTTGATGAGGTATAAGGTGGAAAAGGGGTAGAAGAAGAAAAAGTTCAGCTCTTTCTGTACCAAGAAACTAAATGTTTATTGATTTCTATATTTATGGTTTTCTTTACTCATCTTCTTATGTCTCATTATTCTGTTATGTCAGTCCAGTCTACCTCAGTTGTTTCTTCAACTCACTCTTATCCAGTGTCAGTCCACTCTACCTAAGTTGTTTCTTTAGCTCACTCTATCCAATGTCAGTCCAGTCTACCTCAGTTGTTTTTTTAACTCACTCTATCCAATGTCAGTCCAGTCTACCTCAGTTGTTTCTTTAACTCACTCTATCGAGTGTCAGTCCAGTCTACCTCAGTTGTTTCTTTAACTCACTCTATCCAATGACAGTCCAGTCTACCTCAGTTGTTTCTTTAATTCACTCTATCCAATGTCAGTCCAGTCTACCTCAGTTGTTTCTTTAACTCACTCTATCGAGTGTCAGTCCAGTCTACCTCAGTTGTTTCTTTAACTCACTCTATCCAATGACAGTCCAGTCTACCTCAGTTGTTTCTTTAATTCACTCTATCCAGTGTCAGTCCAGTCTACCTCAGTTGTTTCTATAACTCACTCTATCCAATGTCAGTCCAGTCTACCTCAGTTGTTTCTATAACTCACTCTATCCAATGTCAGTCCAGTCTACCTCAGTTGTTTCTGTAACTCACTCTATCCAATGTCAGTCCAGTCTACCTCAGTTGTTTCTTTAACTCACTCTATCCAATGTCAGTCCAGTCTACCTCAGTTGTTTCTGTAACTCACTCAATCCAATGTCAGTCCAGTCTACCTCAGTTGTTTCTTTAACTCACTCTATCCAATGTCAGTCCAGTCTACCTCAGTTGTTTCTTTAACTCACTCTATCCAATGTCAGTCCAGTCTACCTCAGTTGTTTCTTTAACTCACTCTATCCAATGTCAGTCCAGTCTACCTCAGTTGTTTCTTTAACTCACTCTATCCAATGTCAGTCCAGTCTACCTCAGTTGTTTCTTTAACTCACTCTCTCCAATGTCAGTCCAGTCTACCTCAGTTGTTTCCGGGTGTGCATTTATTTAATGACCAGGCCCCAGTAAGGCTGACACTTAAAAGTACTAAATCATTAGGAAAGTATTAGTTTCAGAATCATTGAAAAAGTAATAGTTAAAATCCATATGAAAGTATTACTGTTGCAAAATTACTGGGAAAATGTTAAGAGTTACAGAAATATTGGAAGAGTATAAGATTTACAAAATCATTGGAAAATTGATGGAGTTACAGACTCACTGGGAAAGTATAAGAGTTACAATATCATTGGGAAAATGTTGGAGTTACAAAATTATTTGGAAAAGTGTTAGAGTTACAGAATCATTTGGAATGTGTTAGTTACACAATTCTTGGTTGGATTTAAAGAGTTATTAAAAGCTTTATTTTGTGACTCATTTGACTTGGTAAATTAACAGACTCTGGTGTGGCAGTGGAGCCAGCAGACTTGACAGCAAGAAGAGTTGGGGAGGCAGTCAGCTCAACATTTAGTGCTGTCGTTTCAGCTTTGGACTACTCTATAGGTATTTGTTTTTGTGTGTTTGCTATTTACTCTCATCTCAGACATTTACAACTCTCTTTATCTCTCTGTCTCAGTTCTCTTTCACCCACCCTCTTTAAATCTTTATCGGATTCTTATTCTCTTTCATCTGTCATTTTGTCTCATTCTCTGATTTACTTTCCCTCCGTCTCTGTCACTGTCTTATTCTTTTACCATCACACTGTCATTCTTTCCTTAATTTTCCCTCATGCTCATTTATACCCTCTAATTTTTTCTCTCTCACTGTCTCATTCCCTCTCTGACTCTGTCTAAATCATTCTCTCTCACCTCTCATTTGTTACTCATTTTCATTTCTCATTTGTGAAAAAACAAAACAAAAAAAATCAAACAAAACCATGTCTGCTTCTCATGCTGTCCCTAAAATCTAAACATGAAAGAAATAGTGAATGTGGTAAAATTGTTGGGTGGTGTGGTCATCACACCAGTCAGGTCTTGTTGGGTGATGTGGTCAATATCAGTCAGGTCTTGTTGGGTGATGTGGTCAGTATCAGTCAGGTCTTGTTGGATAATGTGGTCAGTATCAGTCAGGCCTTGTTGGGTGATGTGGTCAGTATCAGTCAGGTCTTGTTGGGTGATGTGGTCAGTATCAGTCAGGTCTTGTTGGATGATGTTGTCAGTCTCAGTCAGGTCTTGTTGGGTGATGTGGTCAGTCTCAGTCAGGTCTTGTTGGGTGATGTGGTCAGTATCAGGTCTTGTTGGGTGATGTGGTCAGTATCAGTCAGGTCTTGTTGGGTGATGTGGTCAGTATCAGGTCTTGTTGGGTGATGTGGTCAGTATCAGGTCTTGTTGGGTGATGTGGTCAGTATCAGTCAGGTCTTGTTGGATGATGTGGTCAGTATCAGGTCTTGTTGGATGATGTGGTCAGTATCAGGTCTTGTTGGGTGATGTGGTCAGTATCAGTCAGGTCTTGTTGGGTGATGTGGTCAGTATCAGTCAGGTCTTGTTGGGTGATGAGTTCAATATCAGTCAGGTCTTGTTGGGTGATGTGGTCAGTATCAGTCAGGTCTTGTTGGGTGATGTTGTCAGTATCAGTCAGGTCTTGTTGGGTGATGTGGTCAGTATCAGTCAGGTCTTGTTGGGTGATGTGGTCAGTATCAGTCAGGTCTTGTTGGGTGATGTGGTCAGTATCAGTCAGGTCTTGTTGGGTGATGTGGTCAGTCTCAGTCAGGTCTTGTTGGGTGATGTGGTCAGTCTCAGTCAGGTCTTGTTGGGTGATGTGGTCAGTATCAGGTCTTGTTGGGTGATGTGGTCAGTATCAGTCAGGTCTTGTTGGGTGATGTGGTCAGTATCAGGTCTTGTTGGGTGATGTGGTCAGTATCAGGTCTTGTTGGGTGATGTGATCAGTATCAAACATGGGTGATGTGGTCAGTATCAGTCAGGTCTTGTTGGGTGATGTGGTCAGTATCAGTCAGGTCTTGTTGGGTGATGTGGTCAGTATCAGTCAGGTCTTGTTGGGTGATGTGGTCAGTATCAGTCAGGTCTTGTTGGGTGATGTGGTCAGTATCAGTCAGGTCTTGTTGGGTGATGAGTTTAATATCAGTCAGGTCTTGTTGGATGATGTTGTCAGTATCAGTCAGGTCTTGTTGGGTGATGTGGTCAGTATCAGTCAGGTCTTGTTGGGTGATGTTGTCAGTATCAGTCAGGTCTTGTTGGGTGATGTGGTCAGTATCAGTCAGGTCTTGTTGGGTGATGTGGTCAGTATCAGTCAGGTCTTGTTGGGTGATTTGGTCAACATAAAACAGGCCCTAATTTCTTCCATGGGCATTATCTGCCACCCTGTTAGGAAGGGGCAACCTGGCAGCTCAGGCGGTATATATATGTTTGAAAAAAAAACTGTTTACTGCTTATATTTACTACTTTTAGGGCAGCTTAGGACAGTGGGGTTGTGATTGAACAAACGAACATTATTTTCAAAGGGTTACAAATTGGGCACAGCAGGCCTGTCTTACATTTGGCCCTTCCAAACACTCATTTTTCACACAGGAGTTGTATTTTTCAATCTAACCTAGGATCAAACCCAAATCTCTCTAATGAGAGATCAGTGCTTCAACCACTCAACAGCTGCTCCTCCAGCTCAGGATAATTGCTAACAGTTTCTTTTCTAGAGAATTTAACCACAGGCTGGCAGGCAAGCATCCTCACACTGCACCACCAGGACTCATGGCCTCTTTTATATGCATACCTAGACACATACGGGGAGGTGGGGGGAGGGGGTGTGGAAGTATTGCAGTGCTCTCATATTCCACTACAAACACATATGAACAACTATTTTGACAATTTTTAATTTTATTTTGTATCCAGGCATGATAAAAAATTCAGCCAAGCCTGCATACTGGGTTCCAGATGAGGAGACCACAGAGTGCTGCGTCTGCCAGAACAAATTTGGCCCACGACTTCCCATTCACCACTGCAGGGCTTGCGGCCAGGGCGTCTGCAAGAACTGTTCTCCCAACAAGCGCAGTGTTCCTCTCAGGGGCTGGGACTATCCTGTTCGAGTATGTCTGAATTGTGAACAGAAGGAGCTCAAGATATGAGCCTGGTGTGACCTCATTCATATGAAGTTTGTTAGGCTGTTGTTGCAGATCTTGTTGTTGTTGTAGGTGATTATGCTAAGTCTCTGAAGGTTTGGGTGCCTGGATCACACTTGGAGGATGGTAGATTTCCTAAGGACATCCTCTGTGGTGAATTCTTGTACAGATGGGAGGAAGATGTCAAGGCCGACCTCTGCTATGATATAAAGATGTATTCAAGCTGGACATGAATGAAACAGGTATTGTGGTGGATTTATGTGAACAAAATGCTATAGACCATGTTGCATGGAGGAGGCAACGCAGGAAGGGACTGAGAATGAAAGAAGAAATTATTGCAGAAGAGATGAGAGCTGGGCATCTGAGAAAAACATACTAAATACAAATGATAGCACAATATCATGCTATCGCCTGGAGACGGAAAGGTGCCAACAAAGTATATGATAACAGCAGCTGATCTGATGCTCTTTGGCAGTCATTGTAGATTTTTAAAATTCAAATGTTTTGTAACATAATTAATTTTCTTTAAGTTGAGAAGACTGCCAGGAATTTTTCTTCTGTCTCTCGAGAGTGTTGGACATATCTTACATAGAAATGTTATTGCATGGAACCTTGGGACCGTGACACGATGATAAATATATTGTTAGGTAATGATCAACATCCAGAAGTGAAGACAACAAGTTGAATTCGAAGAACACACTTGTGTGCTATCTGAGTTACACACTGATCAGCACACTTCTCAAGTGTCTAAAAATATAACTTTCGCTCCCTCACTCTCGAAGCAGGACTCAACGACAGTAGTTTCGTCATACACTGGGTTTATTCAACAGAACACGTGAGGGTAGTTTCAAGCCCTCACATCCACAAAACTGCAGAGACGTAGACATTGATCCTAATTGGCATTCGAACATAGTCCCTATCGTCCTCACTCACTCCTTCTCATTAGCAACTGGACCTTGATATTACATCCGCAGACAACCACGGCTGACTGAAGAGAAGACGGACTTCCCTTGCCCGTTCTCCAAAGCACACAGCACATCAGCCTGTTGAAGGACTCCGATGACCGACAGGACTTCTAACACAAGTCCCCTCTAGCACACAGCTCTCATCGGCATCCCTACTGTTCTGTTTCCATGGTGATCCTACGTCTCCTTGCGCCGTCACCCAGAACAGTCACTATTGGAGCATCCAGTTCCCTTGCACTTACTTCGCCAGCGACTCTATAACTTCGACCAATACCGCCACCACAACACTTACTCAGACCTTGGTGCCTGATAGTTGCATGGTACTCTGTCTGCCTTCACTCCGTACCACAACACTTACTCAGGCATTAATGCCTGACAGTTGCTCGGTACTCTGTCTGCCTTCACTAAACCCTCACACAGACCTTGATGTCTGATGGTTTCTCCATACTCTGTCTTGGACTCTGACTGGCTCGCAGCACTCTAGTGCTGGGTGTGTACTACACTCGCACCTTCTCAGTGCTTTAGCCCTGTGGCTACAGCTCACTGACTCGGACTGTCTACGCAGCACAATATATCCCTGCCAAACTCATGGGGGCGGCTGATGTTTACACGAGAGGCACACTCGTATGGGCGTTCTCGTGAATCATGCTCATGTGGGCATTCTCGAGACTCACATTTACGTGGGCGTTCTCGAGGATCACGCTTGGGTGGCTGATGTTACATGAGAATCACGCAATTCAGCCTTTCTCTGTACTTCTCGTTAGCCATGCTTGTCAGCCCCCACCATACACCCATTGGTTTTTCTTTCACGGGCGTGCATGCCTCGTTCGTGATAATACATTTTCACTGGTCAACATTCTATCCCCTTCACTACTTGAGCCAACGTTGACTCTATTCCCCTTGAACTCCCGGTAAGTACTATCATACCACTCTGTCCCTTCACACAATATTACACTCTCCCAAATCAGTACGCAACAACACTGAACAAAAGGGTATCTTTGTGGATGTGTGTTTCACAAGACAGCATCATTACTTAAAGCAGTGGTTCTCAACCTTTGGGTCGAATGACCCTTTCACAGGGGTTGCCACAGATCATCGCATAACTTACATTCATTGAAGCCCTTAAGGAGCAACGAAAATATATGGTTAGGGGTCGCCACAATATGAGGAACTGTATTAAAGGGTCGCCGCATTAGGAAGGTTGAAAACCACTGACTGAGGATGCAAGATCACATCTTGACCCCAGCTCTTAACTTTTATCGATTGTGTCCATGGATCTCTGCTTTTTTTGTTTTGTTGTTGTTGTTGTTTTTGTTTAAACTGCGCAAGACCCTTGAATGTATTTCTCTTAGACTTTCAGACTGTAGTGGCTGATTGTCTCTTGTAGACTGTTGTCACTGAAACAGGTTCTTGAGATGAGTTTATTCTGTTAGAGGCATGTTTCTTTTAGTTTTACTTTCATCATCATTATATGTCACATAGGGCTCAGTCTATTCTTCCATTCGATTCTGTTCAGCCTCTTTGACAACATGGATGCAATTCATTCATCTTGTTAAAGTTGGGGAGGCTGGAAATAACTGATGTATATGTATAGTATATCTTGGGCATGTAATTAGTACTTGGTGGTATGAACTGTAGAGGTTCGATCACCTCCCACCCCCGCAACACTTTTTTCCACCACCACAGTATAAAACAGCTTTGGTATATTGCCCTGTAGAAGTTTAAACTTTCCGGTGAACGAAGTCGCATATATTTGCATGCATTTGTATTTTTTTAAAACATGATTTAAATTTTGACCTTCCATATCAAGTCTGATTTATTTTTCTTGGTCTTGATTTGTCAGTGACGCTGTATATTGTTTTAAATATAAATATTGTCAACATTCAAGTTTAGTTCAGGTGCTCTCATTATGGGTTCCCGGGGCCGCATTGTGGGTAAAACAAGAATAGACGCATTGCCTACCACCAAAAAAAAAAAAAGCATGTTGTAAGAGTCGACTGATTGGGAGCTTCCTTCAAAGTAAGAGTGCATCTGCTCGAGTGGCAAGGAGCAACTAACTGCACACGAATAAGTAGTAAAACAGATGCATATGCAAAACTCGGGCCCTGGCACAAAGCCGAAGTGCAGATGGATGAACAACCAGGACTTTTCACTGAAGATTACAGCCGGTGAACAGAGAAGAAGTTCATGTGCTATAGGAAACTTGGCTGTTTAGTTCATTCTGTTTAAACTGGCCATCTATTGTTGTCTCGACATTTTGCCATTTTGAACTTGGCCATCCTTCTATTATGGGTTTGGGACCCAAATTGTCGGGGGGGGGGGGGGGGGGGGGGGGGGGGGGGGGGGGGACTGAAAACAGCCACTGCCTCCTGACAAGCATGTTGCAAAAGGTGACTACATCATTAATCAAACGTTGCATGTTAAGAAAGAGACAAACACGGTTCTTTGGCCACATAATGAGAGGAGAGACTTTGGAGAACATCGTGACAACTGGAAAGATCAGTGGAAATAGGGTTAGAGGCAGAAAAAGAGAGAAGATGCTGGATGGGCTGAAACGATGGCATCAAGAGAGCTGTTCCAGGCAACTAGGGATCGTGATCTGTGGAGACGCATGAGCGCCTATGCCAGTTGGCAGGACATATGATGATGATGTTGCTTGTATCCACTTCTTCACATTTATTGTTCCATTCTGTAAAATCATTTACTCTTCTGTTATTTTCTTCCATATTTATTGATATAATGTCTTAAACTTCATTGCATTTGAACTGTAGTAACCAGAAATGGATGTCAGCTGTATAAGACAGAGATTATACTGCATTGTTTTGCACAACTTTCTTGTATAACTATCAAATTATTTTTAATAACCCCTACATATACAGAAGCCACTGTAGTGTAGTGGCTAGATGCTTACCTGCAGATCAGAAGGTCCAGGGTTCGGGTCCTGGCGGAGCTGGACTTTTTTAGAAAATGACAATGGCTACCAGGTCAACCCAGCCTTGAGTAGGTACTGGGTAGTCTTGTGAAGTAGAGACAGCCGGCGTGTTGTTGAATACATCACCCAAGTACCAATTCAACCCAGCCTTGAACGGGTACCGGGTAGTCTTGTGAAGTAGAGACAGCCGGCGTGTTGTTGAATACATCACTCAAGTACCAATTCAACCCAGCCTTGAGTAGGTACCGGGTAGTCTTGTGAAGTAGAGACAGCCGGCGTGTTGTTGAATACATCACTCAAGTACCAATTCAACCCAGCCTTGAACGGGTACCGGGTAGACTTGTGAAGTAGAGACAGCCGGCGTGTTGTTGAATACATAACCCAAGTACCAATTCAACCCAGCCTTGAACGGGTACCGGGTAGTCTTGTGAAGTAGAGACAGCCAGCGTGATGTTGAATACATCACCCAAGTACCAATTCAACCCAGCCTTGAGTAGGTACCGGGTAGTCTTGTGAAGTAGAGACAGCCGGCGTGATGTTGAATACATCACCCAAGTACCAATTCAACCCAGCCTTGAACGGGTACCGGGTAGACTTGTGAAGTAGAGACAGCCGGCGTGATGTTGAATACATCACCCAAGTACCAATTCAACCCAGCCTTGAGTAGGTACCGGGTAGTCTTGTGAAGTAGAGACAGCCGGCGTGTTGTTGAATACATCACTCAAGTACCAATTCAACCCAGCCTTGAACGGGTACCGGGTAGACTTGTGAAGTAGAGACAGCCGGCGTGATGTTGAATACATCACCCAAGTACCAATTCAACCCAGCCTTGAGTAGGTACCGGGTAGTCTTGTGAAGTAGAGACAGCCGGCGTGTTGTTGAATACATCACCCAAGTACCAATTCAACCCAGCCTTGAACGGGTACCGGGTAGACTTGTGAAGTAGAGACAGCCGGCGTGATGTTGAATACATCACCCAAGTACCAATTCAACCCAGCCTTGAGTAGGTACCGGGTAGTCTTGTGAAGTAGAGACAGCCGGCGTGTTGTTGAATACATCACTCAAGTACCAATTCAACCCAGCCTTGAACGGGTACCGGGTAGACTTGT